TTCACTAACGAAACCTCAAAATATAGTAACATAATTTATTTATATATTATACATGTAAAAGTAGCTCCCTCGAAGCTATCCCACTGAACTATCCCTACTGTCCAGTAGTCACATCTCCATCTCTCAACTCCTGATCTGCTCCCACATAAAAGTGATCATCGCGAGTCTCATCCACATGGAAAAATAGGGGTAAGTATTAAATCATTCGATATAATAAAACGAGATATAGAAGTAATAATTATATATTATGATCAATTACGAAATTATCAACACACTAAGACACCTTCGGAAGTATACCCTAACTATGCCCGAACTCGGAGGCTATCATCTGTGGGCACATTGTGATCGGTACCGCGAGTACCATTCGACCACCCTCCACACGAGTAGGATTACTGGCGCCCTTCATCACTCATCCTGGAGTACCCCTCCGAGCGTGCCACCGGTCATCCCCCATCGACTTCTCACCACCTGATCTCGTAGTCTACCGACCAGACCAATCGGTGAAGTCCGGGACCTCATTCGAGAATCCTCAGACATAGTTATTACACTAATGTACTCTGTACCATCCCGGGTACCATTCAAACATAACAAAAAATTATTCACATTTGCCAGATTCTGTACCACCTATCCTCACGGCTCATTCGGGTCAATAAAAATAGGATTTGACTGATTTTGGCACCAACCCTCCCGCTCAGTCTAGCCAATATATAACGTCTTAGGACTGATTCTGGGCATCAGCCCTCAGGCTCAGTTTGACCCACACACGTCACAACACACTACTTTCATTCTCTCTCTCTTTATATATATTTTTTTCTAAAATCATTTCTGAAATCATTTCCGAAACTATTTCCGAAACTATTTTCGAAATCATTTTCGAAATCATTAAATTATTATTTTGCCCTTAATCTTTTCTTAAAATTCCATTTATGTCCCTAAATGACTATTTTACCCTTGGTCATTTTTGAAAATTCCTTCCATGTCCCGAAAATGACTATTTTACCTTTGAACAATTTCAAAAATTCCATTTATGTCCCTAGGATGTAAAATGACTATTTTGCCCTTGAACATTTTCGAAAATTACATTTATGTCCCTAGGATGAAAAATGACTATTTTACCCTTGATCTTTTTAAAAAATCCCCACCATATCCCTTTCTTCTTCCTTTGCCCAGTAACAGTTTTGAATTTTGCAGATTTTGACAGATTTCAAATTACTCAGTTTTAGACGACCAAACTAGTCCCAAATCGAAATTAAACATGAATTATATCTAATTTAAGTTGAAAACAACAATTTTACCATATAATTCATCCTTAATTTCAAGAATTTAATCAATATTTAAAACTTTGCAAAATATGAATAGTAATTACTTCCAGTACACCATTTTCAAAATCCAGGTTTCAAATTTCTCAATTTCAATCACCCAAATTAGTTCCAAATCAAAATTAAACCATAAACATGTTCAATTTAAGTTAAAAACAACAATTTTATTATATAATTCATCCTTAATTTCAAGAATTTCAAAAACTTTCAAACAGTGAACAGTTCATCAAAATCAGAAATTCAAATAATTCATATCTCTACTCCTATTCCTTATTCACATAGTACCCATCAATTCAATTTCATATATTAAATGAAACAGTTCATCAAAATCAGAAATTCAAATAATTCATATCTCTACTCCTATTCCTTATTCACATAGTACCCATCAATTCAATTTCATATATTGAATGAATTAAACTTCCCCTTACCTGGTATGGTATTTCTACCGACGTTTTCCCACTTAATTCAAGCTCTCTCCCGTTTCACCAGATCCTGCACGAGTAGAGTCTTGTTGCTTGAAATTTAGACAATAGAAGAAGAAGAATGAGAAACATGTGATATGGAAGGAAGAATTTCCCGCAGAAACCATTCATCTCCCCTTCGAACATATAAAAGAAAAAAATTTATTGTGCATGAGAAAAACTTCGTTATGAAGTTTTCTTGCACGATAAAAAGCATACGTCACAAAAACTAATATTAAATACATTACTAAAAATTCTCATTTTTTATGGGAATTTTTTTGTAAAGTTTTTGTAAAAATTGCAAGAAATAAGATTTTTATAAATTTAAACAATTTTTTTGAAAAAATTGGCTGAAAAAAATTAGTTTTCTAGTAGTGATATATGAAGGCTTTTTATAATTATAAAATGCTAATACAATAATATTAATAATTTTTGTAATCATTAATTTAAAAATCATACATATATATAGTATTTTTAATTATTTAAATACGAAAATATTTATATTTAAAATATATATGAAAAGTAAGTATTTAATGAATATATTAATGCTAAGTTTGTATGTTTATTAAATAAGGTATCCATTTAATGAATCAGATAATGAAATTATTTAAATTAAGTTGTTTGGTTTTTTTATTATTTAAATTTGAACTAAATCAATTTTAATATATTAATTGATATTATTAATTTTTAGATATATATATATATATATATATATATATATAATATTTTGTAATATATATTTTTTAAAGAGAAAATTATATCTTTCATTCATTTTTTATATTTTTATACTCTTATATATAATATTACCGTATGTGATATTTATCATATAGAATTTTATTATATTTTGCGTAAAGAATTTGGAATAATGATAAATGAGTGAAAATATTATTGAAGATAAATTAATATAATTAATTAAAAAATTATTTTATTAATTTTAGATTAATTTATTTATTAATTTAATATTTTTCATTTTATTATTTATTATAATAATAATTAAAATATAAAAGTAATATTTAAAAAATTAAGACATAATCTATTATCAAATAAGTTATAATCCATTATATTTTTATACAATTTCTTTCTATTTTTTCTTCCCATTTTTTTCTATCAATTTTCACACTTTTATTGCAAATCTATGCTTCAGTCTTTTTACGCGGAGGTCAAATTTTTGTATGAACTATGCATTTACGGTTGGTTTTGTGTTTCAATTAAATTTAAAGTTTTATTTTACAGTATTGATTTTATTACATATAATTTTTATTATACATATTTTATGTTTTATATTAATGGATGGATCGTATATTTATCATTTAAACGTAGAAGGGATTAATATTAAAATATATTTAATATATATAAAGCAAATCACTTTTTATACTAATAAAATATGTGAAGATTGAAAAGAATAAAGTAATCATAATTTTTTTATATTACATATAAGCTTTAATATATTCTAATAAATAATTTAAAATTATAAAATAGTTCGATTATTTTATTATTTTATTTAGCTACCAAATAATTTTGTATGTGATATATTAAAATATATATTACTATCGTTTAAAATTACAATATATTGTCAAAATTAGATTGTAATAATCGAAGAACATTCTACTTTTTTTTAAATATAATTCAAAAATATTTTTAAGACAACATCAAATCTATAGTTGATAATATATTAAAATTAAAATAAATTATAAAAATATTTTTTATGTAATCATATTATTTTTTTTGAGTAAACGAGAAAACAAGTTAATCATATTATTTATATAAAATATTAGATATTGAATTAGATAAAACAATCTAATATATTAGTTTTAAAAGTTGTTTATTATTTTTTAATCTTAAATTAATAATAATTAATAACAAGGGCTAAAAAAAATGTTAAAATCCAAAACTAAAAAAAATGATATAACCTAAAATCGATAAAACCCTATGAATAAACTTAATATATATATATATATATATATATATATATATATATATATATATATATATATATATATATATATATATATGTTTCGTTAACCCGAATTGTACTAACGGGTTTTAATAATATTTAGTTAGTTAGGCTTGATAAAAATAATTTAAATTAAAATCAGATTAATATGAATAAAAATAAATAATTTAATTTAGTTTTAATTTAAAACTAATTCAACCCATAAATACCACTAATGCTGGATGAATTTCTAAATCTCTTTTGTTAAAGTCTAAAAAAATACCATTTGGATGAAAATAATTTAAATTAATGACTAAATCTTTCAAGAATTTTATATGCATCAAATTAATTGTTGTTCCAGATATGTACTATCAGGAGAAATATCCCGGTTGGAACAATTAAATTTCTATCTATTATTAAAATAAAAAAAGGAAAAATGAATTTGGTTCAAAGTTCATGTTTTAGTTGTTTTAACTAAATTAATATGTTATTTTCCATCTTTTATTTCTGAATATTTGTTTCCTGTCTAACAGTTATCTTCTTACATCACTGTTAAAACTTTTAAGATAGTTTTTTTTTCAAATTATATATATATATATATATATATATATATATATATATATATATTATTCATACATGTTTTTTCATAATTTTGTATATGAAAGCTATTTTGTTAGATTTAAAAAAATTAGTTTGTTAAGATAACTTTAAACAAATCTATAAAAACAAGAGCAGTTTCTAATTATAATTTTGATACATATAATTAATAATTGAAATTATGCAGTAATTTGGAGAAGTGTTAAAAACAAAGGATTTTGGAGTGTGGAACATATATAGATTGTCTAGAAGAGACGCATTGTGATTGGTGAGACCTTAAAAAAGAAGAGGCTAGTTGGTTTACCCATATAAGAACTCAGACCAGAAAGCACGTCATCGTAAAAATCTTTGCTTCATTAGCAAGGTCTCACACTCCTAACTCCAACTAAGCCGGCCAAAACTGGTTTTTTCTTCAATTATTTTCTCTCTTCCCAAACAGACCCCAACAACACCAAAATTAAAATTAAAATTAAATAAAATTAGAAATAAACAAAATTCTGACATATCCGAGAATAATGCTCACCAGCATATCTTCCTTTCCCTTTTTCCTTTCCATGCTCACTCCAACGATTCTCTAACTTCAAACTCTTCACTTCACCCCTTCTCTGCTTTCACACATACAAAATCAATCTCAGAACAAAAAAAATAAAAAAATTAGAAAACCCTAAAATCGTTTTGGTGGAGGAAAACATGGCCACCACCACCACCACCAGTCTTGGCAGCGGCGCCGGTGGAGACGACCGCGTCCTCGCCACGGCTCAGCAGATCGTGAAGAGCCTCAGAGCCGCCAAAGAGGATCGTGAAGACATGCTTCTGATCTTCTCTAACTTCGATAACCGACTCTCTGGCATCTCCGACCTGATAAACGGCGACGATTCCAAATCCTCCGATGAGGAAGAACTCGACCGCTTCGAAGCCGCGGAGAAAGTGATTCTCGCTGGCGCGTCTCTCTCTGGCGAGCCTTCGCGCCAATCCACGTCGCTCTTCAACCCCCCGAACAATTCCGCGGAGTACTTCTCCGCGGTGGACGAGATCATCCACTGGATGGAGCAGTTATCGATCGCGCCGCCGTCCTCCGCCGCGGGGCGCACCGGGCAGGTCATCGCATACCGTGCGGAAAACGCGATTCAGCTAGCGATGTCGCGGTTGGAGGAGGAACTGCGGCACGTGCTGATTGGCAACACGGTCCCACTAGACGCCGTAAGCCGCTACGGCTCGATCAGGAGGGTTTCACTATCGTTTGGGTCGCACGACGGCGCCATCGATGATACCCTGGAGAGCTTCGGCGAGGTTGGTTCGAGCCGCTTCCACGAGCGCGGCGCGAGCCTTGGCGACGATTTGTTCGTCGATTTGGTGCGTCCCGAAGCGGTTCAGGACCTTAGGGAAATTATCGATCGCATGGTTAGGTCTGGTTACGAGAGAGAGTGCCTTCAGGTTTATAGCAGTGTCCGTCGTGATGCTTTGGATGAGTGTTTGGTTATTCTGGGTGTTGAGAGGTTGAGTATTGAAGAGGTTCAGAAAGTTGAGTGGAGGAGTTTGGATGAGAAGATGAAGAATTGGGTTCAGGCTGTGAAGGTTGTTGTTGGGGTTTTGTTGAGTGGTGAGAAGAGGCTGTGTGATGGTTTGTTTGGGGATTTGGATGATTTGAAGGAGATTTGTTTCAATGAGACTGCTAAGGGGTGTGTTATGCAGTTGCTGAATTTCGGCGAAGCTATTTCGATTTGTAAGCGCTCGCCGGAGAAGTTGTTTCGGATTTTGGATATGTATGAGGCTCTGAGGGATGCCATGCCTGATTTGCAGGCCATGGTTTCGGACGAGTTTGTGATTGGTGAGGCCAATGGTGTGCTGAGTGGGCTTGGTGAGGCTGTCAAAGGGACTTTTGCTGAGTTTGAGAATTGTATTAGGAATGAAACTTCCAAAAAACCAGTCATAACTGGGGATGTCCATCCCTTGCCTCGTTATGTCATGAATTACCTCAAGTTGCTTGTGGATTATGGTGACCCTATGGATTCGCTTCTGGAGACTAGTGAGGAGGATCTATATCGATTTAGAAATGATCTTGGTGGTGATGGTTCGCAGTTGGAAGCCATGTCACCCTTGGGGCAGCGGATTCTGTTGCTCATGTCTGAGCTTGAGTATAATCTTGAGGAGAAGTCGAGGCTTTATGAGGATAGTGCAATGCAGCAGGTGTTTTTAATGAATAATCTGTATTACCTAGTGCGGAAAGTGAAGGACTCGGATCTTGGGAAAGTCTTGGGGGATAACTGGATTAGGAAACGCCGTGGTCAGATACGCCAGTATGCTACAGGGTATCTCAGAGCCTCTTGGAGCAAGGCCTTGTCTTGTTTAAAGGATGAAGGGATTGGAGGGAGCTCTAATAATGCATCGAAGATGGCTTTAAAGGAGAGATTCAAGAGCTTCAATGCCTGTTTTGAAGAAATTTATAGGGTCCAGACAGCTTGGAAGGTACCGGATGATCAGCTTCGCGAGGAGCTGCGGATATCCATATCGGAAAAGGTGATTCCTGCATACCGTTCTTTTATGGGTAGGTTTAGGAGTCAGTTAGAGGGAAGGCATGCGGGGAAATACATCAAGTATACACCAGAGGATCTAGAGACCTATCTATTAGATTTATTTGAAGGATCCCCTGCTGTATTGCATCACATAAGGAGGAAAAGCACGTAGTACATACGATACTTTTAGCAGGTGAACTCATTTTATGAGGGTTACTTGAAAATGGTTTCCTGTGTCATGTGTATTTCTACTTGGATAGGTGTTTATTTTACAGGTCTTAATGTTAGATTGGGATTTTGTGAAATTCAAGTCTTCTCCTGGGCCCCTCCTCCCTCAACAACCAAAAAAAGAATTTTTTTTCCTGCGAATTCTGTAATATCCTTTGTATATAGTGTCTCATACAGGTTATCTATGTTGTTTATACTTGTTCAAACAGTACACTCATTAGCTATTATAAATTCAAACCTTATGTATTTACGCATTTGCAGTTTGCATAATTGTCGGCTTTTTTTATATCCAAAGGACTTTGATTTTTTTTACATGGTAGTGCTAGACACTATATTATTTTGTATGATGCTTAGCGGATGAGGAAATACAATAAGATAGGTGTAATTATTGGATCAACCCAGGATTTAAAATTGTTCATGAAAAACTTGCATAGTGTTGTCAATAATCCAAGATTGATTATTGGAAGTTTTGCGGAAGCTATTAGTTCAATGATATTCTTTGTTCATATTTTTCTCTCACCATCTTTCAACACCTAACAGCACTTTAAGATGCTGCGATTGTGCACCTTCCTAAGCAATATTTTGGACTGGCTTCATTAAAATCTTAGCTCCGGCTATGTGGATATGCTACTTGGCCTTTGCATCAAAGTTTTACCTGGGCAACATTTATACCCTTCACAAGTACTCTCCAGTCAGTCACTTGCTGTATTGAGACATGTTTTTGCATCAGACTTGCTAAAACTATGAATTTGTTCTTTTCGCAGTGAATGTTGTTCTTCGTTATTGAATATATAATTCTACATCTTTACCGTTTGCTGAAAGTTTAGATATTTACTTATCAGAAATCTAGTCATGTTTGGCTGCAGTTTTACCAGCTAGAGATTGTTGCATGCTCATTGCATCTGCATTCTCATTCAGTAAAATCAAGATAAAAATGGCTTCAGTCTCTACCACATTTTCTTTGATGTATGAACTGGTCCCTGTTTCTGTATTGTTCCACTAATGGTTTGGGTAAGAAACTCTCACGGTGAGAACTAAGGATGTATGATGTGATGATGGCATATCTACCTGTCCGCTTTTTAGCTAGCTGCTACCAGTCACACTTTAGCAGCAATAGAGTTGTGTCTCAATTTGCTTAACCTATCACGAGGAAACGTTAACGCTACGGCTATTTAGTTTTTCATCATTTTCCGCGTCATTGATGCAGTATCATTCGGACCTAGTCTATTGGTAAATGGGAAAAAGGGTTGGTTTTGACTAATTTAATCTACATAACCTTGTCTGTCCAGGGTCATGTCTCCCTCAAAGTTTTATAACTATCATGTAATTTATGATTTTGCCTCCCAAAACTTAATAAACATTTAATATATTTACTTGTATATTTACAATTTTATCTCCTCAGTCCCTCTTTAATTTTGTAACTCTTATGTAATTTATGACTTTGTCCCTCTCAAACTTAATGATTATTTAATATATTTAAATATATATTTACATTTTATCCTTTTACCCCTTCATCTTCTTTTTTCCTTTTATATTTATTTATTATTTATTAATAATATATTATTTTATATTTATTTATTATTTATAAATAATATATTATTTGACCCCCAAGATCCTGTCCGTCATTTATAGATAAAGAATCAATAAATCTATATAAATTATTAAAACTATTCTAAAATATATTAGTTACATGAAATATCATACTTATAATTTCTTTGTTTCTTATTTAGTATATTAAAGATTCTAGTTAGCATTTGTCTTGAAGACAAAATAACAACTGTACGCATATGATTTTAATAGAATACATGTATCCTTGTTTATTAATTAACAGTTTAGAATTTCATTTTGTTTTCTATGTAGCACCATTCACTTAGGAGTCTAATTTGAAAAGGATTGGAAGGGGAGGGATAGTTTCAATGCAAAATTTCCACAAGATAGTTTTCTTCGTTCTCATGCGTCAACTTTTTCTCTGTTTTGTCAACTTATTACGTCAAACACGACGGATGCAAAACAAGAAGTCCCACCTGCCTGGATTACTTGGTAATAATATCAAAAGTCACAGACGCTAAAATCAACCCTCAAGAAGAATGAGTTTGTTTCGCTATGATTGGTTACATTACAAACTACAAATTTGCTTAGTCACCAGTTAATGAGGTTCTGCATGCTCCTACGCAATGACCTCGTTTTGGTTTTCTGTACAAGTACAATGCCACCTTTTAAGATGCGAGGTAAAGAGAAAAGAAAATACAAATTAAAAGTAAAGAAAACTTATGGTTACTTACACTTACACCAGAATTTACAACACACACAATCTCACTCTAACACTTAACATAACGGGGTGCAAGTAACTTGCAAAAACTGCCTACACCTTATACAAAGACCCAAGTACACGTCTTCAACCCTGAAGAGAACCACATAGGTCTATTTGTATACTTTTTCACTTTTACTAAAATAATTTATTTCAAAAAAAGAAAAGAAAACCTGCTGCGCCAGGTTATTCTCCCTTGACACCCTGCCTGTTAAACCCTGGTGTTTGCAGGCAGAGGTAGAACACCATCAAAGAAATCACCAAAATAGCCACGTGGTTCGTGTACTAGCCTTGAGATTATGTCTCTTAGTGTGATTAGTCCTTGCAGATCCCCATCATCGTCCACCACATACACCCTTTGAATCTTCTCTTGATCAAGCAGTAGAATCAACTCTTTGATTGTACAGTCCTTTTTGCATGTAACATATTCACTTACCATTGGGAATGCGTTTTCATTCTTTTCCAAGAAACTTCTAACGGCAGTCAGGAAGTCCTTTACTGTAATGGCTCTGTTATAGTGTGAATATCCAATGAGTATGCAAGAAATGGAACACAAACATAGAAGATGTTCTCATTGTCAGATTCAATTGATGACATACAAACCTATAATCGTGATAGATTTCTGGTGCAGTTAGCAAGAATTGAACATCTCGCAAGCTTATATTACCAAATGCCTTTTCGCTCTCTCTCTCAATTACAGGCACCGCTCCAACCCTCTTTTTTCTCATTACTTTAAATGCTTGAAGGACTGGTTCATCTTCATAAATCTGAAAAAATAAATAGTCCATTATGAAGCTCATCAAAATCTACAAGCTTACTACTTGAGGAGGAAAAAAGAAATAAATTACTTATCCAAGTTGAGAGCATTTGACATATATGTCTACAAATGAAAGATATATAGGACAGATTTTACTACATATGCACTAAAATTATGTTGAATTGATACATGGCTCGGTTAAATGCAGTGAGCTTGAATTACACCATCTTAAGTGTAGTTCATGAAAGGTATTGTAAGAAGATTTATGTTGGTGTAATGACTGGACAAGTTTTTAGAGTATAGTATAGCATTATACTAATCCTATTTTATATTGGGGCAGTTTTATTAAGATATGGTGATGCTTAATTGTTAGTTAAGGTTTGACGTGATAACATAAGCCAGTTCAATCAGTTGATGAAGATCTTCAACTTAAGATAAGGACCACACCTTTATGATCTGATCTGGTGTAACCAGGGGAAGACCAACTTCAGATAGTTTCTTGGTTCCCCAGCTTTCAAACCACTGAAGTCCAACGCATTCTGCCAGCATATGAATCACAGCAGATTGTGTAATAATGTTATCTATTGTACCAGAGCCTAAATCCAACACAGGAACACTCTTCATCTTGTACTTAGAAAGCAGCAAGAGCATGGTAAGAAATGAGTTTGATCTCTCTAAAGCAAGAAATGGGGCCCAGCGGAATGTCCCTGAAATGTCTTGAACCTGTTTTCTAAGAAGTTAGCTAGTGAAATAAATAAGATTAATCAAACATAGTAAATAGCTATAATAAGTAGCATTTAAAATGAATTATTTTAGGTTGGCATTGCAAAGGCAGGTATATTACCTTGGTATTCTTATAAAGTTCAGAAGAAGTTAGATCCTCAAAAAAGTTTCCTGAAGTTGTTGCAGCAGAGCCAAGGCCTAAAGCTTCAAGTTCTATAGCAAAACTCACTCCATTAGCCGCAGCCGCAATAGCCTTTGCACTGGATGGAGTAGATGGACTCCTAGGAGATGCAGGTTCAGACTGTCAAGAGTATAATGCCATTGGCTTAGCGTAAAAATGAGATATCAAAGAAAATGATGACTTCAACCACCAGCATCATGTATTATCAAAACATTCTGTTATGGGATAATTACACTAACTTCTCATAAATTTAGCATTACTAGAGTTATTCTCTTCTTTATTGAAAAACTTACATCTACTTTTCTTATTTTATGTATTATTTTTTGATACCGTGATATTTAAAAATTGAAAAAAAATAGATTAACAACTCGTTATCAACAACTATCTATTTAACAACTTCATTTGATAAAATAATAATTTTTAATTAATTTTATTTTAAATTAATCACTTTATAAATATAATATTAATAAACAAGGTTATATAATAAATTTTTTTGTGTGTTTAGTGTCAAAATATCAGTAATAAAAAAGTATAATATAATCAATCATCCATAACCTCAATGGAGTTCAGTCTAATTACCCCTTTTACTTATTTCACCTTTCAAATGTTCCACTATTTTTTTTAAAACAGCATGAAGCATAATAGTAAGAATTAAATCATCATTGTACCAACAAAAAAGAAAAACACCAGACCCAATAGTAATACTAGATTCAATTCGACATATTTTGAATTGAATAAGCATAAAATACAAACAAGACCCTAAATTCAGATTCATACGTGTGCTCCTCCTCACTCCTTATTTTTCCTTTTCTTTTTTTCTCAAAAATGTGGTAGAGGGGATCACTACCCGAGCATCACTTATTGAATTGATATGGAACAATGAACAAATATGTCCGACAAACCTGATGCAAAATCCATACAACAATTCCGGCAAACTCAACAATTCCGATGTATCTGTCAATCCAACTAGCATCTTCAGGCGCATCAACATCCACCACAGGTGCACTGAAAACATTGTGTCGTGACAGTGTCATAACTGCTTCAGCCAGGGTGGCGTCTGAATTGATCTCAATTTCTAAACACAAAATAAATTTTACATACACGTTGAGAACTAAACCAAAAGACACAAACAAAAGGGCCACATAGCATAACATAAACAAGATGAAACAACAAGCCTCACTTAAATTATCAGATAGTTTACGCACCACAGCCTAGAATATATTTATCTTCGGTGTCAAGTCAAATTTTATCTGGGTCGAATCAAAATCACCTCTTTCTTCGTTATTTAATCACCCTTCACGTACTTTTGATGATCAAAGACGAAAATCTCAATAAAAGTGATAAATATATATACCTTTGTTTGAAGGACCCAAAGGAAACGCAGAGACAGGGATGCTTTCAAAACAAGCGTTGAGCTTCTCAGTAGGACTTAGCTGTGCCTCTTGAATGTCCCAAAGATCCTCAACTCGCATGCCCAATTTCGCTTCTGGGCTCCGAGGACTCTCCCTCATTGTTGCCATTGCCATTACTATCTTCTTTCTCTCTCTCTCTCTCTCTCTCTCTTTTTCTGTAACTGCAACGCTGACAAGCTTATAAGATCTCTATTCTCAACACATTCCCGTAATTAACTGGAAAATAGGATCGAAGAATCTACCATCGCGTCACAGACCAACTTCCCTACACCTGAGATCTTCACCGTTCGATTTTACTACTTAACCTTGACGGTTGACCCTTGTGAAATCGTAGGGAGACGATGGTGATACACATTGTGCGCGTTGCATAGCAGTGGTCAACGTGACCCTTACTGTTCGCTATGCTTATCCAAATTTGAATTATTTATTGAAACACTTCCTCATCCGGTTTTCACTGTGGGCCACAAACGAGTGTGCGCGCTAACGTGAGCCCGGGAGGGCTTTGCGCGCCCACAGAATTGAGTGTTCGTGAAAATGCGTGCTGCTGATTAGTTATTAGTCATCGGATCCGACCTAAATTTTGAGGACAAAACATTTCTTAATTGTAAAAAACAATAATGATTGATTTTTTTTCTCCTTTGTAAACACTATTAATGATTGATTGGCTTTTATGTTTTACTTATTTTGCCTCATTTTCATTAAGGATAAACCTTAACGTGTCAGCGTGTTTATACTGTTTCGAAGTAAAAGTTGCAGTTAATTTAAATTTGATATCATTTATATCTAATTATTGATTTTGTCACGAATAGTATCAGTAAAAAAATTCAGTATTTCCTTCCATCACTTTTTTTTATTTAAATTCGATATTGATTTTAAAAAAATAAAAAAATTTGATTAATTATTGCCATTTGTTTGGATATACTTGCAAGTTAAAATCGATACCACTATCAAGCTTTGATTCGATCTAGTTTATTGTTTTCAATGTAAATTATTAGATCTTTATTGGATAAGGTAATAAATTTCTCTTTTAACTTAAAATATTTTTATCAAAAGTTATTTTAAAGCACAATATAAAATAACTTTGAATTACTAGTATTATTATTAAAAAGAAAAAAATAGTAGTACTACCTAACATATTGTATTCATTATTTAGCGACGTGACATCGCACACTGTGACGTGGATATGATGTGTCAAATTATTATATGCAATAATAAGAAAAATATCCTTATTTGAATTCAATGAATGAGACACTGACATCATGACATGATGGTTTTTGAATTTTTCTGATGAAAATGAATTCAGAAAATGATAAATGTGAGGAGAAAGGCTACATCATCCCTTTCTTTTGACTGCTTTTTCCATTACTCCTCTTTTTTTAGGTTTATATGACGTCCTTAGATATTTTAGTAGGGTTGAGCATTATGGAAAATAAATTCAATAATTAATTAAATTTTGTTTGACAGAGATTTCTAAACTAATGTGGTTTGAATTAACTAGTTTAATTTAAGGAGAGTGTTATGTTTATATTTTCAGTTATTTTAATGTTAAAAATACTCATAATTCTGTTTTGAAATTAACATTTAATAACTTATCTATCAAATTACGCTAATTATGTAACATATGTTTCTCAAGAAATAATTATATATTGAAAATTGCTTAAAAATATATATTCAACTAATAACTTTTAATAATAATAATAATAATAATAATAATAACATCTAATCAAGAAAATAATAATTGAAAAAATTGGTGTTATATTATTAGAAAGAGTTATGTTTTATTAAATAAATTATCAAAGTATATTTTCTATTTTAAAATTATATTAATTTTTAAAAAATTAGTATATTTTGAAAGTAAGAAACAACTTTATTGAAAAAGTAAGATTTGTTAAATTAAATGTTTAACATACCAAGAACAAGGCAAATGAAACACAAATTTTATTTTCTTCTCATTGTGATTAAAATTTGATACAACAGTTAATATGTAATCATAATTGAATATTTTGATTGACGACAATTAAGAATTATACAAAGCTCTTAACAATGCAATATCTCACGTTATATAAAAAAATGTTTATAAAATGAATAATCATAACTTGTTTGTATATGTATGATGTACTGAATTTTAGCAATTGAGAGATAAATTCGGTGAGAAAAATAAGTTATCTTGGAATCAATTTAAAAAAAATATTTTGTATAATGTATTCGATTAGATAAAACTCACTAATCAACTGAAAAAACAAAATTTGTCAATTCTTTTATAATGAAACACTCACTCCTTTTTAATGAAATAATGGTTATTTTTAATAATTTATTTATAAGTACAGTTCATTATTCAAAATAAGTTATGGTTGCATTTTTTTTAAGACACTTATTAACATATGATTACTCAATAATTATTTTATTAAATCAATGGAGATAGGCGTTACCCCCTTCAAATTGGGAGATATGTCAAGTAATTAGAACTTGGATACTAGATTTTGAAATGAGGATCATGGAGGAGCCTTTGTTAGTAGGTTAACAATCAAAATTGAGAAAATCAAATTGAATGTTGATAGATAAGTCAAGCCTACAAGAAGAAAAATAATACCTAGGAGGAAATACCCTCAATTGATACAAATGGGCCCAAAAAATAAGATGTAAAGTATAAGATACGATGACCTAGAAATTTTTAAGAGGAAAAGAGTGAAAAAGGTCTAATTAAATTTAAAGGTGTTCAACATTCTACAAGTCCAAAATGGGTGAAGAGAGTCCAAAAGATGGATACACTTGATTCAAGTGAAAGAAGGTCCAACCAAATAATATTCTTACACGGACTTTAACCTAATTTTTAATTTCATCTTATTCAAGAATTTAATTGTTAATTTGTAATTTCATCTTATTTAAGAATTTATTTGTTAGAGGTGGACTAGTTTGATGCTAGTAGAGAGCCCAAATTTCAAGTCTAAACAAGTTTTAGGTTGTTTTTTAGTGCATCTTTTTTTTTTTCTTATGTCCTCGTAATTATCTAAAGTAATAATATTATTTTTAATATAAATATGTTGTGTAAAACTTATTTTGAAAATAAACTTACGAAAAATGATGATACAGTTCAATTTGGCTTGATCAGGTCAAGTAAAATTTTTTATGGTCTATTATAATCTATATTTTAAAATAGACCATAAATCTTAATTTAGTCTAATTTTATATTGAACTAACGAGCTAACCCATAAATTTTGACTTAATTGAATTTTTTTTAATATTAAAATATCAATACAAAATCAATTAATTAAAATAATATTTAAATAAAAATATATTTTGAAATTTTAAATTTTATTAATAAAATTAATTTTTATGTAAGATATAATAATTTAATATATAAATTATAAGAGAATACATTTATTCAATCTTAAAATAAAAATTAAAAACTTACTCTTTATTATTATTATTATTTATTTTTTAGTTAATTTAAACTAGTAATTAGACCTTAAAATAAGTGATGGTTAGAGATTTATTCTGATATTTAATATTAGAATAAGTGAATCTCTTATCAAATTAATTTATAATACATATATTTTTTAATAAAATAATATTAGTTTTATTTTTATTTTAAAATTAATTATTATTTTGAATCTCATGTCAAATTAATTTATAATACATATATTTTTAATAAAATAATAATAGTTTTATTTTTATTTTAAAAATAATTATTACTTTTTAAAATAAACTAATACATAAACCTACTATCCTGACTTAAGTCCATATAAGTAATGTATTAAATAAATTAGATCAAAATAGGTTTTATTTAATTTAGGCCACAATTTTTTGAGGCACTTTCTTCCTGCACCCCATGATTTCTCCCTACACCCCCATAATTTCTCCTTGCACCTTTATTCCCCAAGTAAAATAACTAAAATATCTTTTTAATATTTTTTTGTTTCAAATCCTAATCCTTTTTTTCTATTTTCCTGCAAAAGTTCTGCACCTCCATAGATCTACAAATTTAGTTTTTTGTGTTATTACCTCCATTCAAGATCATTTTTAAACACTTAAAAATGAATAGTCGTTAATATTATATAGTTATTACATGTTTTTACATTAAAATTGCATATTAAGACCTAAATTGCTTGATTCAAAATGGTTTTGCAAAAATTAGATTGAATTCCAAAACATCCAAACCAAAATGCATTGTCGGATTGACTGTTTTGGAATACGTTTTCAAAGAAAACAATTCAAAAATATATTTTGGAACAAAATTTTTATAAACATATTCTAAAAAAGTGGGTTCGAGAATGTACTTTTGAAATTGATTTTTCCATGAATGTATTTCAAATGGGTGGGTCTAAATTACATTTCTAGGATGTGCAATCTAAAAATGTATCCTGGACCATTAATTCATAAGTACATTTAAGAATCGCTAATTTGGAATGCATTTTCATAAAATTATATTTGAAAATGTATTTTAGAACCCACTTTCTGAAATATGTTTTGATAAATTTTTTTCCAAAACTGTATTCTTAATCCTTAGAATGTGTTTTAAGTAAAAAAATTTGTTGCACGATTAATGCATGTGGTAATAAAATTATTCAAGTTAAAAACAATTAGAGATCATTGCCTTTTTCTAGCAATTCTTGAATAATAGGAGAAGGAAAAATAAAAATGTTTTAATAAGATTTAAAAATCATTCAAAGGTTTAAAATATCAAAAAAATGTTTTTTTTCTTAGCCTAATTTATTTTTTAGACCCATCATACTAAATCTATTTTGATATTCTTTGTGCTTTCCATAATGTATTTATGAATTTGTTTTTTTAGAAACATATTCCAAAAAATTAATTTTAAAATTTTTCTCAAATACATTTATAGAAAACTCAAATTTAGAAATGAGTTATGGATTGTATGTATTATATGGAATGCATTTCCGGATTAAATTTTTTAAAAATGTATTTCAAATTCAATAATTTAAAATTTATTTTTTAAAAATATAATTTGAAAATAAATTACATGACAGCTTATTCATAACTGATTTTTAAATTATATTTTCAAAAATTAATATGATTCAACTTTAAAAAACCACAAATACAAAACAAATATATTTTTTAAAGAGATTCTTTATGCACAATATATTATATAATTTAAAACATAAATCACCAACAAATCTATAATCTTAAAGTAAAAATAATATTGGAATGAAATTGCAAGTAGGTGTTGGTATTGGTATTGGTCCGGAGAAAAACTGATCTTAATGATATTTTAATATTATATATATATATATATATATATATATATATATATATATATATATATATATATATATATATATTATATAGGTACGTAGAAGAAATAATTGATTGGGTGTGCAGCAGTCTAGGTTTATTTGTGTTGTAATTTGGGCCATAAACCCAACCCAGGCCCATGTTAACACCGATGCAACAGTTGGTTGGGAAGTGGAAAAGTGAGAGGAATCGAACATAAAGGGTATACGGAACAAATTTGAGAAGCGGAATGGCGCAAAAGACCGAACGTTATGCGCTTTGAGAAGTGGTTTTGCCATGTCGTGAGATAGAAATGGAGAAAGAAGCAATAAGCAGCAAAGAGTGTATCCTTCGTTCAATTCTCTAAGGTTAAACAGTAAGAACATTTTTGCTTGCTATTTTCCATCTAATTAGGGTTTTCACGCTCTTCCTTCTTCTAGATCCAACACTAGTTACAAGATTTTTTAATTTAGAACTATGAATAACAACAACAACAATAATCCAACAAAAAATGCTGCAACGCCGTCGTTTTTCACCAACCCGGGTGCACCCTCCATCCCCATGAACCACCCACAACCGCACCTTCTCTCACAGGCGCAGCCTCAACCACAAGGTGGTGCCTCTCACTTCCATGGCCACTTTCAGCTCTCGCAACCCCAAACCCACGTCCTCGCACAGCCACACCCTAGTCCTCACCCACAGGTGCACAACAATGCCAACACCAATGCCAACGTGGCAACACCTGCGCCTCCCAAGCGTGCAAATCACAAACCCCCTTCACGCCCTCCCGGTTCCTCCAACGCCACCCAATCCTCTGCCTTCAAGACGATGGAACTTACCGTGGCGCCTCCTCGGAAAAAGAGAAGCTGTCCCGAGAAGCTCATTCCTGACAAGGTGGCCAAGCTTGTGCCTGAGTCTGCTATTTATGCTAAGTTGCTTGAACTTGAGACCCACGTAGATTCTGCTTTGGTTAGGAAGAAAATTGATGTGCAGGAGAATGTTAGAAACCCTCGCTGTGTTAGGAGAACGCTTAGGATTTATGTATATAATACTTTTTCGAAACAGGTGAAAGTGGAACCTGGGAAGATTGATGTGGAGGAGCCTTCTTGGGCTCTTAAAATAACCGGAAGGGTGTTGGAAGATGGTAAGGATCCTGTGGCAGATGGAGTTTTGCCTAAAGAAAATCCAAAATTCTCGGCTTTCTTCAAGAAGATTACCATTTATTTGGATCAGGGTTTCTACCCAGAAAACCATGTTGTTGTGTGGGATAGTGCCTGTTCGGCCGGGCAACGCGATGGTTTTGAAGTGAAGAGGAAAGGAGATAAGGAATTCACCGCTGTGGTTAGAATGGCGATGAATTATTCGCCTGACAAGTTTGTGGTTTCAGCTCAGCTGGCTAGAGTTTTAGGGGTTGAGTTTGACTCTCGCGCAAGGATCATTGCTGCTCTTTGGCACTATGTGAAGGCTAAGAAACTACAGAGCCCGAATGACCCTTCGTTCTTCATGTGTGATGCTTCTCTCCAAAGAGTGTTTGGGGAGGAGAAGATGAAATTTTCTGTGGCTTCACAGAAGATATCACAACATTTGTCACCGCCACAGCCTATACACCTGGAGCATAAAATCAAGCTTTCGGGAAATTGTCCAGCCGGAGCTACATGTTATGATGTGCAGGTTGATGTGCCTCTTGCACTAGAAAAGGATATGTCTGCATTCTTGGCAAGCACTGAGAAGCACAAAGAGGTTGATGCTTTTGATAAACTGATATGTGATTCCATAAAGAAGATCCATGAACATCATAGGAGACGGGCATTCTTTCTTGGCTTTAGTCAGTCCCCAGCAGAGTTTATTAATGCTTTGATAGCTTCTCAGAGCAAGGATCTGAAGCTTGTTGCTGGAGATGTGAGTCATGATGTTGAAAATGAACGACGTTCTGAATTCTACAATCAACCATGGTAAGCATTATTCTATTCACCTATTACTTTTTTGTTGTGTGGCCGTTTAAATAATAAATATTAGCTTTACATCGTGTTTGTCTATGACTGTTTGTTTTTATTTGCCAAATTGAGAGTTTAAGATGGTAAGACGACCTTTAGAAACAGGCAGGTTAAGGAAGAAATTGTGTCTATCTGACACAAATTTTAGACTGTAAGGTACCCATTACTAATACAAGGCTCCTCCAAAACGAGCAAGTAAGGGTGAATAGGACCTTAATTTGATTTGAATTACTTTCAAAAGGAAATACTTCTTTGCTTATGTTAAATACAAACTCATTTCAGAGGAGCCTTTTCCATCTTAGAGTAGTATCTTATGGCTTCTACAGAGTTTTGTTTGTGCTATCAAATGAGGCATACATAATGCGCTGGGAAGTGCCAGTAAGGGATTTAATCTTGATGTATTAGTGTATGACTGAAGATCTAGGGTATGTTTAAATTGATGGTAAAGAATGGTGTAAAGTGAATTGTAACATAATGAGACGGAATGGATTGAAATGAAATGGATGAAAAATGTGACTTTATTGTTTGGATATTTTATAATGGAATGGAATGGAGATCACATTCTATTGTTTAGAAAAAGGAAGCAATGAAGTAAGTTATAACCTTATAGTTCACATACATATTACCCCAACTATAAAATCGCATTCAATGAGTTAGAACTTTTAGCTGGCCAAAATAGGGAATTTTATTTTAAAAGTTTATCTTCATCCTCTACACTCCAGACTGAGGGGGAGCAAAAACTAGACTAAATAATAGAATGGGGGTGGAGGAGGTCCATCACCTTCCATACTATGTTTATTTTTACAAGGCAAACAATAGAATTACTTTCTCATCCATTCCATCTACTATTAAACCAATTCTAGCCTAGGATTCATTTGTTTGTATTTTTCAAGGATTTTTAATTATAAAAATCTTCAATCTTTTAATAATAATTAGGCAAGCTTTTTGGTAAAAACTTAAATGAAAAGTTAATGTAGTGTTTATTCTTGAAAGTTAGAATGAGTGTCTTCTAGGGTAAGAGGGTTATACAAGCACATTTTTTCAAAGCTTATTTAAATGCATAAGTGAGGAACCCTGCTTCTTTGGTTGTTCATAATGACCAAGCAACAATGAAGAGTAAAAGTGGAAGATATAACAAAGATGTATTGTATCTTTTATTCAATTTTTTATGTACTGTAGGCCTATAAATATATTAGAGAAATTTATGAAATGTTTCTAATTGGTTTCTGTTTCTATTAATATTTTTAGGGTCGAGGATGCTGTTATTCGCTACCTGACCCGAAAAAATGCTCGCAGTGAAGCTCCTGCAAACATCTGAGAAAATTGTGAAATAGTATTTTTTTTTTTTTATTTGGGAGGTGGAGATGGTTAGTTTTTAATTTAAAAGGTCTTGACTCAACACCGCCAAAGTTTCATTCCATGATTCATTTATGTTTTGGAGTAGAGTACTAGCGGAGTATATTGACTCAAGAATTCCGATCGCCCCAAGCTCATTTTGAGGTCTCATGTTCTTGTCGTCCAATGTAGCACCAATGTCTTCAAAATGGTATATATTTGAGTGTTATGGATTAGATATCTACCTTTACCTTGTACATTTTTAACAGGTATGCAGTGCAGAATGCAAGGATTAGATCAATATCTCCACACTTCAAGAGGCTACATTTTACTGTATTTACCAAAATATATATAATTAACGATTTGTTCTCCTCTGGGCATACAAGTTCGAGGCTCTATATAATAGTTTGATACTCTAAAACCTAATTCTTGGCTCAGAGATGGACGAGTTAACAATTATTTGAACATTTCACGCTGCCATGTATAAATGAATGCGTGTTGTTCTCTCGTGCCATTTTCAAGAACAGTGTGAAGTGTAAAATCTGAATGCTCATTGTGCCTGTGTGGTGGTACCCTCTGAGAACAAATGAATGCCGTTGTTAGTCTCAGAGGGCAGAGTTGCGAATTGGTGTGTTCATTATTGGTGCTATTCTGCGATGCGGGGCAACTGTTTCGTTTGCTGTAATGCTGTATAGGGGGTTATTGAAGGCATTGTCTTGTTTTCTGATTTATGTACTCGAGAGCAAACCATCATTGTGATTTGATGTTATTTAACCCAACATAAATATAAATAAAATTAAGAGTTAACATAATTTATTCTTTAAAGCCCCTTATTAAAATTGATATGAAGAATAAAAACGATGGTGAAAAATATAATCTCTTTTGAAGATAATGTCATTGAATAAGGAGTGAAATATTATTCAGATTAGATTGGGTGATCTGATTTTTTCAAGGTATATTTTTTTTAGTTAGTTTTTGAATGTTAATAAATAAATAAATAAATAGTTCATAAAAACAATTTCTATATTTTACATTTTTCTTTCATATCAAACAAATTTTTATATATTATTATTAAAATTTAACTTAATTTTTTATATATAAACTAAATTGTATAAAAGAAAAAGTTCTTATTTCATGTTGAATTCTTAATACTTCACCAACTAAAAGTGTGTTTAGTTTCTTGGAGATCCAAATAGACGTTTGAGTTGCATTTCATTATCTTCGACTATCCGTCCAGCAGAAACAACACTAGACATGCTTTTCTATCGGATGAAAAATACTTGAAGACAATATTACAGTGTTATTTTCAACAACAATATCAAACACTATTACCCCTTATCTATCATTTGAAGATGCAATAAATCCACTCTAAAAGTCAGGATGTGGTTTGAACAAAAATCTCATTGCTCGTGTAATATACAATTTCTCCTATGCTTCTTCCAACTTTTTGTGCATATGGTCCCTTTCAAAACTGAATTAATCTTTGGTGGGTGTATGTGTGATAAAAGGCTATTTGAAACTTTTGCAATATGAACAAACATTCTAAAAATATAATATTGTTCTTAATTTATCATATATAACGTGTTCTCAATCTATTATAATTTAAGTGCTATAAAGATGAAAATATAGTTCAACACATAAATTATTATAAAATTGATATAAGATTAATCTTTATCTTTAATTGTGATCTTCTTAAGATATACGAATACTGTTGGAGACTTAATTATAAATCAAATTATAAATGATACATAATTAATTGCATTATAGTTTGCTATCTTCTACTTTATTTTGGAGTATAATATTAATTATTGTATTTTTCCTTTATTATGCGTATTTTCGTAAGTCTCATAGTTCTTAATAAATATATATTTATTTGAATTTGATTTTTTAATAACAAAAAATTATTAAATAAGTATCACTAATGATATAATATCATAATATCAAATAATAATATCAATATATTGACTTTAGATTATTAAAAATAATAAAATAAATAATATTAAAATCACAATTTGAAATTATATTAATAACACCATATTTGAATTTATAATTACTAAAAAAATAACCAAACAAATAATTTAGGAGATAAATAAGTGTTCTTATATTTTGTAAAATTTAGTTTGATTTCTATACTTTAAAATTTGAATAATCAGTTTTTTAATCTTAAAAAAATATTCTTCAATCAAAATTACTAAAATTTAAATTTAAATGTAAAAAATTAATATTATTTTAATCATTTTAGACCGTCAGTTAACGTTAAGATATAAGGAATAATTAAAATTAACTTTTAAAAAATTAACCACTCATCAATTAGAAAATACAATAATAAAAAAATAAAAAAGAAACTCGAAACTTAGTTAATTACTAAAATATTAGTCAAGCACCTAAACGTTAGTTTGGTGTATACTTATTTTTATGCATGTTTCTCTAGTGTCATTGTTTCCAGCAAATGGTTGAGATCTCAAAACTGCAACAGATAGGATAACTCCATCATCCATTCACTCTTACCACCTCTATTACCTGTAAATATATCTTCACAACACAATACTCTTATCAAACATGTTTTCACTCTTCTCTAGTATCAAAAACTATACTAAATTTGTATATACTTAATGGCTAGTATTTGTACATCACTATAGATCTCATTTTCGTTGCTTTCATTGTCATCTCCATCCTATAAAAATGTACACCATCAATATGCTCAGTTTGTTGAATACCATATATTTCAAACTATTAAAATTAATATTATTTTCATCAATTCTGTTACTTTGCTTGATTTCAAATGTCAGGTTAAGAGATATAAGAACTGTGCATGTTTAACACGCTAATATAATTCAAAACTTTACCTCATCCCCTTAATTATATTGGTGACAGGATTGATGAACTCAAAATTTATCCACTTGCAATGAATACATTTAACTTCTCTAGACCCTACTACAATATAATTATAAGAACCCTTCGCATATAGTCACTCCTTTTAGTTATATTAAAAAGTACAGTGAGCTATGTATTGAAAATGATTAATACTTTTCAATCACTCACATTACAAAGAGTAATTTTACCCATTATCTTTCTCTTTTCCTTTAATTTCTAGCATCCAAACACATTAAGAAGATAATTTCCCTTATCTCTTCAGCTCTCTTTGTAGTTTGTTTTCCCATTCCAATCTGGTAATTGCCATATTTTTCTTCCTGTGTGTATATTGTAAATATAAATACGATTCATTAAAACATGTAAATTTTCTTTTCTAAAAATTGTGACAACTTACTGCTTATGGCCTTCTGGAGGTTTAGCATCACAACATCCTCATTTCAAAGATAATCACAACTTGGAATGTTGTACATAATTATATGTAGAATGAAGATAATAACAACTTAGTGTGCATAATTTTTTTTCTTATGACAAATAGTCGCCAGTTTCGTTTCGAACACTATGACTCAGTTGAAAGAGCTTTTGTATATAATGGAGATTTAATAAAACATTTGTTGCAAAATAAATTATCCATGAAACATATAAGCACATAAGTCACTTGTTAAAGGTTAAATGTTTATGAAGGAGATAGACAGAGTTTTCATTTGAAAACCTTGTGTATGAGAATTTATTCCCAACAATTTCGGCCGCAGCGAAAACCTTGAAAGGGATGACTGCGTAGAAATGTTAACACTCAATAGATGTTGGAATTGATTACTTGATTGTTCAACAAAACTCAAAACAGTGATTAATAATGCAAGACATTCCACATGCTAAAGGTCAACATTACATATCTAACTTAACAAGAGTTGAAATGCAAAAGGAAAAGATGCAACTGCAGATTATAATCATTATAACTTGAAAACCACCATTGATTAACCAATTGTGTAGTTCTGGCTTCTACAATTCACGTCCCAAAAAACATACTTATCGCTGATAGTCACGAAACAGTAGTAGCCCCAAAACGATAATATTCAACTGAAACTGTAATTTGCACTGGGTATATATTATAGATATTAGCTCCAGATCCTAAGTTACATTAAACACTAACTACCCTTACATTGGATGCTAAATGAACAGGGTATACCTTCCACCACGCTGCACTTAACCAGTTGCATCTTTTAGCCGAGTAATAAGCTCCTCCTGCAGATTTTATTTCGTGTATTAGGATAATCAATAATGGACCATCATATACCAGTTGACAACCATTACACTGTGACATATAAGTAAACAAAATACCATCAAGCAGATTAGTGAGTGATATCTTTCAAATGCCTGCATGTTTAAGCTGTTTCAATGCTACTTCCGCATGCATTTATGTTAGGTATAGAAGAATACTTGCCTTCTTCCCCTTGGTTGAAAGACCTTTAGCCTTCAAAAGAGCACGGAGTCTCTCTACAGTCAGGTTGTGGAAGTCCCTAGTGGCTGTTTGACTGTTTGATCCCTCTGTATGATGAAAAACCATAATAACAAGACAAAACTTATATAGTGGAAAAAAAAGGTCCAGCATACTAAGTCTCTTTCAAACTTAGGACCCATTGCTATGCATTGAACATATGACAGTAGCCCAAATCCTTACCCTATACAAGTTCAAAATCACCAAAGATTACCAGTGAGGAATATATTAATGGTGAAAGCATGCATAAAGAGAAGGAGATAGATAGTGCCAAGCTAGTCAAAATCGCGATCAAAATCGTGGAATAGTCTGATTCCACAATTCTACACCAAATCTCAGGCAAACTCAGAACAGTATACAATCATTCAAATCGCCATCCAAGATTGAAGACATCATTGAACCAATCACTGAACCATGATCTAAGTTCCGTTTCAGGTTGCATCGCAGGGTCGCAAGTTAGGCTGCATTGACATGGGTTGGTCACGCATTTGAAATAGTGAACAAAAAATATTGTTTAGATTCTTGCTCGTAGAATATGTAATGCTTCTTCTCTTAAAAAATTATGTAATGTTCTCTTCAAAAATAAACTATTTAGATTCCTCCTCACAGAATATGTAACGTTTTAAGCCATGGAAAAAATACAAAATAAATTGTGTTGCATGTTATATTAGACATTTATTATTTAAACTTTAATCATCAAGATTTATATTTAAAGCAAAGTTGGTTCATCATATGATTTATTTCTTCTATTTCATGATAAAATTATTTGTATTTTGAAATGTAATTTGTTACTTATTTTATCATTATATTAGTATATATTTTACATTATATAAAAGTAGGATCTACTATCTGTCTTACGATTCCACAATTTATGATATGTGGACCCTCTAAAATCCCATTCATAATCTTGATTTTGACAACCTGAACATTGAACCTCCAATACATTTACCACATCAAAGTCATGAAAACCATGCCATTCAAAACAAGCTAAAAGATATGTTTTTAGTATTGAATGCAATTGCTCTTGCCTCTCAGTAGATTCAACTAGTGACTTTTAAATATATGAATCAATTAAAGATGAAAACTCCACTTTGATAAGAAGTTCTACAGCTAAAACAAGCATCACTAGGATGCAAAACATGTAGTAAAGGAAAAGAATAAGATGCCGTGCATGGAAACGCCAACATGTATGAATATCGGAGGTTCTAAGTATAAATAAGCGCAGAAATCTGAATTCTATACTCTTCAAAACAAGAATAAGTAATTGAGGTCTTTCCCAAGAAAATTTAGAATTTGAATTTACAAAGCCATACAGAGTACCGATGACCATACCATGGTTCTGTTTAAGTTTTTCCAAAACTACTGACAATTAAATTTCCTACCTTTCAGGAACGCAGCTTAATACACTGAACCAAACATGATTTGGTTCATTTCGGTCAAAACACTCCTAGGGTTTGGGATGCAATGTGCGCTTTGAGTACATGGAACTAAAAGTAAGTAATCAAATTATCATATACAATCATTTCAGAACATACTCGCATTCTGGTGTTCTCTTGCACCTATTATATACTACTAATAAATACATAACTCAGAACTCAGTACAAATTAACAAACATGAAGGTGTTGTCTATCCACTCCATATTTACAAAAATAATTAGAAAAAAATGTTTATGTACTTAAAATGAGGTTGATATGCATGTCTGAACATGTATAAGAGAGACACGTCTTCAAAGAGTATATATGAGATATGACTAATGCTGGACCTACTTCAGAGTCTCAAAGTTGAACTAGTAATATCAAGAACAAAAAAGAACGTTTTTGTCCTAAGCAAAAACATGTATGGAAATATATGGGATAAGAAATTTATGACTTCAGATTTCACCCAATGCAAACTCATTATAAGATCGTATGAACCCACCTTGTCGGGAATTTATTTGATTATTTGTTTTCTTGGCTGAAGATCTTTCCATAACCTTTTCAGCATTCCTGATAAAAAAGTTTGATAAGATAGTGTTCAATAAAAATAGACCAAGATAAAGAAAAATCCATTAAAGAATGGGGGAAAGATGCCATAACTTTTTCACAAGTTATCAAGTTTTAAGAGAAAATTATATCATGAGCTTGTGTCAAAAATATTTATTGGGAATTTGTACATGGATCATAATGTACACTTGAAATACATCACTCTTCCAACGAAAGGTGGGAATAATACCTCTTTCTTGAACCATCAGATCCATCCTTTGAGCTGGAATCACCCCTTTGTTTCTTGAGGGTGAGTGATCTAATCAGTATGTTTTGTTGGTTTGTCTTAATATGCTGACCTTCTGCATAAACAAGGGAATCAAAATGTCTATTTCACAACAATTATCTATTTAAAAGCTAAAAAGGAGGTAGCTAATATCTACAAGACATGTATATATCATGGCATTAAGACCAAGAGGATGGTCAGAACAATTTTCAAACGTAAGTTTTACAACGTAAGATAATTCTCTAAATTAAGACTACCAAATCAAAGATAAGTGACAATAAATAAACTAAACTTGAACAGGCCAAAATACATAAAGAACTCATATTTTCACATATACACTACTCCATGATAAAACTGCGGTCAATGGACGTGCCTCTAATATTAAATTATGTGTAAAACAAACAACATTTGAATCTGGACAAGTAAAATGTCCCATGTGGATGAAAAATAACCATCCTTACACGAATAAAACATTTTTGTTTGTTTCTTCCCTAAAGGTTACTGCTTGGCAGCAGGCTAACATATAAACATTTGAAACCGTTACAATATCCGTTACAAGTTGCTACAAGGTAAAAAAATAAAAAAAGACCTGGTGGCGTGGTATCATGATCGCATACATAGGCCCGAATCCCACCCTGCGCAATAGAAAATCAAATTCAAACATGATGCTCTCACATAACAAATAACCTCGTAAACATTTTAAACGATAAAGCTTCAATTTTAAAGCAGGAGGTCTCCTGAGAGCTACCAATTGGAGGGAACAAAATTTTCTTTGAAAAAAAAAAAGAAAAAAAATCTCCATGAAATTGACAGCAGTTAACGTAAAAAAACATGTTCGCCAAAGAAAGTAGGGTCAAAGAATCACTAGTGCTAATAGTTATAATGTCATATGATCCTGTTTGGATAAACTGCTCTACTACCATTCATGGAAAAGGAGAAAGTGAATTGAGTTTCTCTCACGGACTAAAATCAATTTCTGAACTTTCTTCTCTAACTTTTCAATTTATGCCCTTTGCAAAAAACTATATTCATTTTTACAAGTTTATTTCACACATTGCCTACTTACTCAACAAATAAGCTAGGATTGCACAAATGCATAATTAACTGATAATAATTTTGACATTCGATAGGCGACAAGTTTTTAACTTAGCAAGCTTGAATTAAAACTAAACAGTCAATCAATCTCTCTTAGTATTTTGCACTAATAAACGTCTTGAAATCCACAAACTATAAACAGAAAAAATAAATAAATAAATAACAACGTACACAGATTCACATCAAAACCTAAATTACAAATAATAAATCGCTTAGTTTCGTTTAATTTAAGTAGTAGCGGGAATAATGTTCTATAAACACACAGATCGAAAGCATCGCAATGAATGTAGGTATGTCCAACATCTGAATTCCAAAACAAAAAGATAAAAAAATAAAAGAATTGAAATACCGGATTAGACGAAAGGATAGTGGAAGAGAAGTGGCCTCGAGAAGGGAGATTTGCAAGGAATGACGAAGCGCCGGAAGAAGAAGGATTGGACGCATCCATTATCATTGAATGAAAGTAAGGTTTCGCAATCGCAGCGGAAGGGCGAGAGAGGACTTGGCCTCTCGTAGGTTCTTCGCAGTGTCACACTCACGCTAGAAGACTGAGCGACACACCAAAAACGCCTTAACCTTCTCCTCCCACTGCCCTATATATATGTGGACCAACACAGCGAAGGCCGGAGTTGTGTACCGTTTATTTGTGGACTCTTTCTTTGACGAAAGGGATCCGAGTGCACCTTCCAAACACTCTCCTCTATGTCTTAATCATGTATTGTAGTGACAAAATATTTAAATATTTTTTGTAGAGCAGTGTAAAAAACATTTTAAATATTGTTAATCTATTATGATTTCTAATTCTTCATTAATATTATTGACGTAGGTGTAGAAAAATTTAAAATTGAATACACAATTATAAAAAAATATTCCAATAACATTAGTCTGAATTGGTTTTATAATTGACTCTTTGTAATATTTAAAAAGAGATATTTGTGATATTTTATATAGTCTAATGGTTTAGATAAATATGATAAAATTAATATATTTATTTTAAATGATTTAGTGGCGGTAAAAGATAAAATAAGGTTGTGTTTATTTATTTATTAATTTAAATATTATTTAAAATATTTTAAGTGAAAAAAAAAGCATTTTACAGTAAAAATTTATTTAGTCAAACTTTAATGATATACCAAAATATATTTTACATTTGTTCATAGTTGTTAAGAGAACAATGGAGTTTGATATTCTAAATGACAAAGTATGTTTTTCTCCCCAAATTCATTCTTAACAAATTTTATCGCTATTATAGTCTTTAAACATGTTAAAGATTATAAATTGAATCTTCTTGTTAGGTCTTAATTTATTTTATTTTTGTAAAAGTTATACATAAATTATAACAAATTAATTCTCAAATTATTATATATATATATATATATATATTATTTCTTATATATAAATTACTATTTATAGTTTTATTATATTAAAATATTTGTGTTAATTGAATATGTTTTAATTTATTATTTTTATATTAAATGTTAACATACGAATAAAAAATTGATCATGTATCTTTTACTTCAATATAAATTATATGAATATGAAATATCATAACCTTTTTATTATTATATATTATAAATCTGTACTCAAATATTTCATTGTTATATATAAAAATTAATTATTCATTAGATTTATCATTTTAAAATAACTTAAATCTAAACACAAATCTTCGTTTGTTATATAGTATGTTAGAATTTCCACATATTTTATTATTATATTTAACCAATATTATAATATATATAATTTATAAATTAAATGTCAATAGATGTACTTGTTTATTTTTTTTAAAAGATAAATGTAATTAAAATTTATTTTATTTTAAAATAAGTTTTACATAAAATTAACAAAATAAATTTTTTTATTGCATATATTTGAAAAATAATTTAAGTTAATTTTAAAAATAAAATATTTTTTTTAATAAATCTATTAAACATTTTAAATTTATAATGAAAAATTAAAATATATTTTCCAGTTTAAAAAACATATGGGATTTTTTTAATAAAATTGAAAAATATATTAATTTTGGGACATGTGCAAAAAAAACTAATTCAAATTAAAAAACATCATCAATTATTTTGTCCTGATAAATATATTTATTCATATAATTATATATATATATATATATATATATATATTCTGAATCTAAATTTTAAATAATAAAAAAATTATAGTAATATTCAACATTAATACAGATATATAAGTAAAAATCTGAATTTTAAATAATAATAATAATAAAATAACAAATAGAGTAAGAAGAGTGAAATTCAACATTAGTTTTAACTTATTGTAAAAGAGTAATGGAAAGATGACGAAGACTATTACGTATAAGTTTAATATATTATGTTAAAATTAAAATTTAATAATATAAATTTATTGTAAAATTAATATACACTGTTTTATAATTAATTAATTGACTTATTAATTGTTAACGTTTTAGAGTTAATTTTAGTCCAAACAAATTAAAATTTTATATTTTAAAAGTTATATACAATCCATTAAGTTATAAAATAAATTATTAAATCTTTAATGAATTATAAACGTTAGAAATAATTAGTCTTTGAACATTGAAATATTAGTATTAGACATTAAAAATCTTATTTTATTGGTACTTTAAAAAAAATCATACATAATAAAATAAGAATCATATATTTCTAATATAGTTTAAACAGTTTTAAATTTGTTTTTTTTTTCATCAAAATATTAAATAATGCTAAAAAACTCATATATATATATATATATATATATATATATATATTATTTAATTAAGTTTCAAATAAAATATAAATATTTTTTTTTAATTCATTTTTTTCTGTTATTATTTGCAATGTTTTTTTCTTGCATGTGAGTAATTAATGACAGTTAACGTTAGATATTAAACATGACCATTAAAGTTATATATATATATATATATATATATATATATATATATATATATATATTTTTTTTTTTTTTTATTATTTATATTTACATTGACTAAACCTTCATCGTATTAAATGTAGTCTTATCCTCCATAAATATCTCTTGTCATAAATTTTGTTAAAAATAATTTTTATATATTTATATGCATTTAAACATCTACTCATGTACCGTATTTGATAAACTGGCAATATTTAAATATTTTACAGGGATGCATCCAAAAACATATATTACTATTGTTTATTCAAATTGTTGTTTAAATGAAAACAGTTACAATTTTTATTCAAAATCTTAGAAACTAAGGAAATCACACTGCTTTAAACTAACTAAATTTAAAATATTAGTTATCAACAAAGTATGGATATTTTGAATATGATATTTAAAAAAATAATAAATATAAATAAATATATTAAGTCAAACATTTTACTTTTATAACACCAAGTTATACTATTTAAATTAAATATTAGAAAAATTATCCTTATTTAATGAAGTAATACAGTAACTTGTGATATATATATATATATATATATATATATATATATATATATATATATATATATATATATATATATATATATATATTAATAGTGACACAATGATTTAGTGTCAACACGTTTATTTTATTATTGGTTAGAATAATAGTTGAAGATATGAATAAAAAAATTAAAATTAAGATTAATCAATAGCTTTTTGTTGAGAAACTTAAAAGTAAATTTTTTAAAAAGTGATTAAACTCTGTTTTATTATTTGTAATTCAACTTAAATGTTACGACATCTAATTTAATTTCATGTTAGTTTATGTCACAAGTTATGAGTTGAGATATAACATTTATAACAGCATATATTTTTTATATATTAATTTATTAAATATTATTATGTTTTTATTTAGCCTTGCTAACTACAGTACGCAAATTAAAATAACAATATTTAATTATGATTAATTTAATCATTACTCAAATTTAAACAAGTGACTATATGGGTTAATTTCAATATACATCATATTTTTCCTTCACTAGTCGTGCTCATTTAGTTATACGTGTTTATCATGACCTTTTGAATATTACAAAATTGGCAAACTTGAAAACGAGACCCAATCCTTAGAAAAATTTTAGGTGGTCACCAACGTTATCTGTTTATTACTTGCTCAACACATGTACACATGTCTTCGATGCAAATTTGTTGTGCTTTATGAAAAGCAAACTTGATAAGAGTGTGTTGGCTTCAAGCTTATCCTTCATACCCATGAATAGTAGAAGCTTTCTTAAATTATTGATAATGCTATTACTTTTTTTATTATTATTTATAATGAAAATGAACAAAGTCAGGAATAATGTTTTTAGAAGTTTTTCAAACTTCGAAGTAGGTGAGTGGTTATTTGTATTTTTGTTTTAATTAATTTTAAAACTCATATTATTGTAAAAAAATTATAATAATAATTTTAACCAAATATACTATGGTAATAGTCCAAATTAATATGGATAAACTTTGAAATCTGTTAAGTCAAAATTGATTAAATATTCAAAAAATTTAGAGATTTACGTGTAAACAAGTAATTAAAAAATATTTTATTAAAAATAAAATGTTTTTTTAGATAATAAAGTCGTCTCTCTTATTCAAATATCTTCGATAATAATAATATAATTAATGAAAGTGTTTATTGAAATATTTAAATAAAATATTAATTATTTAAAGTAAATTTTTATTGAAAGAATTTTATGTGAGATAATAAATGTTTAATTTTTTTATAGTTGGTTTATTAAGTAATTTATAAAAAATAAGTAAATTAAAGTAAAATTTATTAAAAAATTAATTAAGTAAAATAAAAAATAAATTACTTAAAAATGATATAATATAAATCTTTATTTTATATTTTTAAAAGTAAAACAACTTACGTAAATTGTTCTTGTTGGAGATACTGTAAATTTATACCATAAATTATACATGTGTTATTGTCAATAATTAATAATTAAATTTAATATATGGTTTGTAATAGATAATCATATATATTAATTATTTATTATTATGATGATATGTTTATATAATTTTGTTCTTAATGAGGTTTAATAATATGAAATTTATATTTATTATTATAATATCGTTAAAATTTATTAAGCTGAATCATTGTTTGTTAAAAAATAAATAAATGCGTGAGGAAAATTTGTATCGCAAATTTTCTATCATGTTGTTTTTTTCTGAAGATCTAATATTGTTAACACCTTTTGTCATATCTGTTTATTTTTGTTTATAATCTTAAAAATTATTTAAAAACCCATTTTGATTTTAAAAAAACTATAAAAAAAATTAAATTTAGCTGTATCTTTTTTTAGTTTCTAATTATTTTGAAAAGGTAAAACAAACACTTAGAAAAAAAGGTGATTATTTGTAAAAGCATTTCTTAATAACAAAATTTATTACTCAAACGGGCCATTAGCCTATAAATATATATTTTTTTGTCTTTATTTATCAACCTTACGTAGGTATCCTATTATTGGTTTTCCGGATAACACCTTATTTAAAAATATTTTCATATTACTTTTTTTTTTCGTTTTGCCACCAAAATATTCCATTAATAATGAATTATAATATCAATATCTTCATATGCATTATATTTCATTTTTGTTTCGTGAAGTAATAGAAATCCTTACAATTTTCCTTTTGTTACAATTTTCAGTATTATTTCAATTTATTAAAAAAAAAACAATTTTAAGAATATCATCATTTTAATCCATAAACCTATGCTTTTTAAGGACTTAGTTTAATAGTATAGAAATAAGAATAGTTTAATTTAATCAAAAATATTCTATTGTTTATTTAGAATGTGTCTTATAGGTGAGGGGTTGGACAAAATCTTATATTCGCTTAACTAAGATATTAGTTTTTTCTCAAGTGAGACAAACGGAAGTTATGGGAGGGATATTCAATTTGAAAATCCGCATTAATATTGCAAATGATATGTGATTGTGAATTTTTTTATTTTTTTTTATATATATCTGAAAATGAAGACAGTATTAGAAGGGTCTGTAACGTGGTTTGGTTCGGTTTTGCATTAAGAATTTATTGGAATTAAATATGATATTATTTTATTTGATTTTTTTTTGAAAATTTCAAATCAAATCAAATAAATATTTAACAGTTTAGTTTGGAATTGTTTGTGAAATTTATTATTATTAAATTAATATATATATTATAATAAAATAATTATTTAATAAAAAATATATTATAAAAATATCATAAATAATTAAGTGTGATATTTATAAATTTATTTTGATTTTATTTGATTTCATATTCAATTTAAAAAATAATAACACATGTTTAGATTATAATAAACTATTTTGTTCAATTTCAGAAAATATCATTTTATATTTGTATTTAATAATATATATTGTAATTTTTGTTTAAATCAATTTGAGTTGGTTGTTAATAGTTAAATAGGAAATTGAGAACTCTATATTGGTTTTATATTTTTTTAAGTAAAAATATATTTTTATTTATTTATAGATAGGTGAGAATGTGAATATCATTAGATAATATGTTAATGGTAAGATGACAAAATGGATCGATCTACCTCATCTTTTAGTCGATCAAAAGTGGAGTGTAATGGATTAATTCGCTATAATTATGACGAGTTATAAGTCTCGAGCGGGTGAGAGGTCAGCGGGTTGATCTGTCATATTTTTTATTTTTTTATTTTTAAATCAAATCTTTTAATAAAAGAAAGTAACAAAAAAATATAAGATATATATAATTTTTATCTTACGAAGAATAATGAAAAGAAGGAAATGATGAATAAGAGGAGATGAGAGAGGGTTTTGTACATGAGAAATGAAAGTGTTTCCTCCTATAATGTGAATTTAAGTAATTATAATTTTTTTTTAAATTCTATTAGTAGTGATATACCAAGACTTTATAAATTTTCTTTATTAGACACTAAGACTTTTAAATTTTTTTTATTAATTTTTATATTGTATATTACCTTTCTAATTTTTTGTATTATATTGTATCACATTAAAAAAAATTACTAGTAAAGCGGGTTACGGGTTGACCCTCGCGGTTTGGCGGGATGGGGAAAAACGAATTAAGGAGTCGAAAATACTAACCCACCCGCCATATTATGGCGGGTCGATACCTAACCCGTTTTGTCATCCCTGATTAATTGTTGAAAATGATGTTATGAAGTGAGTGACAGGTAAAAATGTCATTACTAGTTAACGATTGAGAATGATATTGTGAGAGGTAGAAATACTATCCCTAATTAATGGTTGAGAATGATATTGTGGAAAAAAATGATGATAGGATATAATTTGCTAACTATATTAATAATAATATTAGTAGTGTATATAATAAGAGGAGTGACCGACAAAAATACTATCCCTAGTTAATGGTTGAAAATGATATTGTAAAATAAATGATAGATAAAAATATGATAGAATATAATTTGCTAACTATACTAATAATAATATTAGTAATGTATATAATGAATTATGGATTCATTAATTAATATTGTAATTCTACTTTTCATTCACTCACATATTAATAAATATGTGATACAGTTGATAATAAATTTATTTGGGATATAAATTCACTTGTATAAATATTTAAGTATATTTTTCATATAATCTCATTTTATAAAAGATTGAAAAAAATATATTTTTGTGTACATATTGAATGAAAAAACTTAATGATTAATTTTAAGGTATCAAATAATATATTATTAATAAATATAAAAAGAAAAAAGATAATGAAACAATAAAATAATAAAATTATAAATATATTAAATAATAATTAAATTTAGAGAAAAAAATATAAATTTTATATTATTACTTACTCCCATCTCTATCGTATAATTTATTATGATATAAATATCCTAATGAATAACTATTCACAATATATGTTATTATTCACAGTAAATATATGTTTATGCTCGTTCTTTAAAAATAATAAACATTATAATATAGTTGTGTAAATATTCTGAGTATTAATTCAATTAATTTAATCTGAGGTTTTTTTGGAAAAGTTATCTGATTGGTATCAATAACTAAAGAGATATAAGGTATGTCTTTCTAAAGAGTTATGATTTATAACTTTTAAAAATAAATATATTGTGATATAGTTAAGAGATAAATGTCACATTATATACGTAAATGTTTTAGATGTTTAAAATAAAATTGCTTTAATAATATTATTGTTAAATACTAAGTTACTTATGTGTTTGTTGTGATGCATTTAATTATAGATGTTTATGTATTACATGAACAATAAATAATATTTAAATAATAAATCTTAATAATAATATATGGGTAGAAACATAAAATAAAACTTTTATATGAAGTTTCACATAATTTTAAAAGTAAATGTAATTTTTATAATACATAAATAATATATATAAATATTTGAAGACACATTCAAAACGTGTGACCGAATAGACGGGAAGATTGCAAAACTGTTGAATTAATTTATGCTCAGCAAAAAAAAAAGAATGTGAATTGTTTTATGTTTAAATACCAGAAATAATTAATTGATTTGTTAATAAACATAATTAAGTTTTTTTTCATACAAATAAAAAAGATTAAAGGTAAAATGTACTACCGGTAACATTGACTTGGTTCACCGATTATGCATCAGACTCGCGTGCCAAAATTCGACGTAATGAATACAAGACAGAGTCAGAGTCAGACGACTCAGAATTCACTTCAGAAAGGATAACTCGGGTAGCAAACAAGTGTAGTGAGAGTTTGCACCACGTATTGTGTCATGAAAATGGACACAATAAAATTGATATAGTCTTACCATTTATTTATTTAATAATAGATGTTTATTTTTAACTTATAGTTTTTACTAAATTTTAATTTATACAATTATTAAAACCATGGTTACTAAATTGAATGTGAGAGTAAAAGTGTTTCTTTGTTGATTGAAGTAAAATATTAATAAATATAAGTTTGCAGAAAAAAAAAATGGTCAACTAATGTTAAGTGTACACATTTTTTCTCAAATTAGTAGTATTTTATTGAAAAGTGTATTGTAACGATGGACACCTATATGTACTTGACTAAACTGCGCAACCATAAAAAGGAAGAGTACTAACTTACGCACATGGTATCGTGGTAGGAGCAATTTAAAAAGGCGATTAATAAATAAATAGAACGTATTATTTTACTCCCATTAAAAAAAGAAGAAGAAAACTTAAAATCATTGATATCCCCTCTTCTGGAGAAAAGAGGAGAAAGGAGGAAGCAGAAGAGAAAAAGAACTAAGCATGGTTTCGACGAGACGCAGTGGATCTCTCTCTGCCAACAACCCCAAAAGATCTTCCTCATCGGAAAATAAACCTCCTTCGCCGAAGCGTCAAAAGGTTCTTCTTCCCTTTCCCTTCTTATTTTCGATTCACTTTATTACGGACGCTTCGGTTCAGGAGATTCCCCGCGTCGGAGCCTTTACTTGGCTGTTGTTTTCTGCTATTGAGGCGTTGCGATTTGTTCAAATTTTTATCAGGTGGACAATGGCGGTTCGTCGGAGAAACCGGTGCCGACACCGGCGGATAATTCAAAGGATTTACGTACTCCGGAGACTGTGCCTGATCCCGGAGAATGTGGCTCCGGCGATGTTCAGATCGCCGGAACGGGTGCTGTCGATGGAGTGAGCTCCGACAAGGGAGACGCTATGCCTGCTGTACCTGTCACAGCGCCGATTGCTGACGCCGCATGTGAGTATTGTGAATTTTTTTAGATTTTTTTGTTTCAATTTTTGTTAGTTCAGAATCGCTGCATGTGCTATGAATTGATTTGAACATTTTTACATTTTTTTCCACGGTTTTACTATGAAGGTCCGTCCTTCTCTTCGTGGAGTGTATATCAGAAACAGAATCCGAATATTGAGGGGGGACCATGGTGCAGGTTCTTGTCTCAGTCTGCACAGGTAAATTCGTGTTCAAACTAGTGAAGTGAATTAGAAAAGTTTTCGAATGTAGTAGTCACTGTTCACGCATTTGAGTGTTGACTCCGCATGAAGCGCATGGTATTTTTTGTTTAGGCCACACAGATTTTTAACTTGGGAACTTGTGTTACTGCTGCAGAATCCTAATGTTGCTGTTTGCATACCCAATTTCACGATTGGTTCTAATAGAAGTTGCAACTTTGCACTGAAGGATCAAACTCTAAGTGGAAATTTATGCAAGATCAAGCACACACAGGTACATTTGAAGTCTATATAAGTTTACTCCTGAAGATTTGGATCATTGATTAGACTGTGTGTGTGGTTAGGCTCTTTTTTATGCTCAAAAGTATGCACATGTTGGTGGATCATTGTACCCAGTTCTACTACGCAAAGTTTTCTTATACAGTAATAACTATAATTACTTTTCTGGAATCTTGAGCTTGAATTGCTTTTTCTGCTCATTTTTTAGTTATTTGAGGTGAATATGGTAGACATGTATGTGCCATATGATTACTATTGTTGCTAACTGTGATCAGGGTGACGCGAGTGCTGTAGCTGTGCTAGAAAGTACGGGTAGCAAGGGATCTGTGCTAGTAAATGGGACGCATGTCAAGAAGAATACCTGCTGTGTGCTTAACTCGGGTGATGAAGTGGTTTTTGGTGTTCTTGGAAATCATTCTTATGTATCCACTTCATTTGTTCAGTTAAATGTGTTTTATTTTAAATGAAAAGTGTCACTTATAGAATTTCTCAATTAGCAATTGTTTCTTTTTTCTCTAGGTGTTTTATTTTTAAACTTACATTTATATAGGTGATTTTTCTTAATTAACTTTCAACTCAGATTTTCCAGCAACTAAATACTGAGGTTGCAATTAGGGGTGCAGAAATTCCAAGTGGTGTTGGGAAATTTCTGCCGCTTGAAAGGAAAAGTGGAGACCCTTCAGCCGTGGCTGGGGCCTCCATTTTGGCTTCTCTTTCCATCAAACAGGACCTTACAAGATGGAAATCTCCAACTCAGCCCTCTAGTAAACCTCCCCAGGGTACTGATGTCTCTAGTCATCCTGTTCATCATGATAGTACAGAAATTGAGCTTGATGGCTCAGAGTCAACTCCAAATGTGCATAGTGATAAAGCAGCTGATGCTGAAACAAATGAGAAGAATTCAACAATGGATTGCAATCCGGAAGCTGGTGCAGAGCCAGGCAATGTAAAACTCTCTGGGGTGAATGATTTCCTAAGGCCTTTCTTCAGGATCTTAGCTCGACCTAGTTGTAAACTGAAATTGAGCAAAAGTATCTGTAAACAGGTATTGGAAGAAAGAAATGGGATGCTGGACATGCAAGCTGCATCAACATTGGGTACATCTGTGCGCTGTGCAGTGTTTAAAGAAGATGTTCATGCTGCTGTACTCGATGGAAAAGAAATAGATGTTTCTTTTGACAACTTCCCTTACTATTTAAGGTATACTTTTATTCTCAACCTATTTGGTACTATATTTGAATTTATCCTATATGTTCATTCATCGATTTGAATTTATTATTAGCTTTCACTTTTGATGTTTTTGTTTTCTTGTAATATCTACATATTTACTGTCAAGAACCTAGGACATAACATTTGGCATTTAATTTAAAATTATTTGCTGAGGTTCATATGATTTTTAAAATTTTTAAATAATATGAAGATTGTTTATTTGTGTAACTTGATTGAGTCTTTGAAGTGTTGGTGCTTGAAATTACTTTTGTTAATGTTTTATTTGATGGGTCATTAATTTGTACTGTATTTATGTTTTGTATTCATGACTTTTTGTAGTGAGAGCACAAAAAATGTTTTGGTGGCTGCTTGCTTTATGCACCTAAGGCATAAAGAACATGAAAAGTTTACTGCAGATCTTACAACCATAAACCCTCGTATTCTCCTATCAGGACCTGCAGGTGTGTTAATATGATATTACTTCTCTCTGTCTTTTTCTGGAAGTATTTGTTCCTTTAATAGCCAATTTTGCTGGTTGCAGGGTCTGAAATATATCAGGAAATGTTGGCAAAAGCACTTGCAAAATACTTTGGAGCTAAGCTGCTCATATTTGATAGTCATTTGCTTTTGGGTGTAAGATAAGGCTTCCTTTTTGCATCTGAGTTCTTGAAATAGTTTTTGCTGAAAAATCTGACAAGAAACTTCATTTTCTATGTTATAAGGGTTTATCTTCCAAGGAAGCTGAGCTACTCAAAGATGGATTAAATGCTGAAAAATCCTTCTGCAGCACTAGACAAAGTCCTACAGGTACAGGTACAAAAGTGGCTGGGAGCATGGATCCATCAGCTACTGAAATAGAGACACCTAGCTCTTCAAGTGCACCTATATTGGGCTTTGAGTCTCAAACTAAGTTGGAAACTGATACCATGCCATCGACCTCTGGAACAGCTAAAAGTTGTTTGTTCAAATTAGGTGTGTGCTCTTTTACATTTCTTATGCTTTGCTTTGGTTTTACATAAAGCATAGCTTTTGGTGCGGCATGTTGGACATATATATAACACGCATAGCCAATAAAAAAAGTTACTATTTTTTTTCAGCTTAAACATGGCCGGGACATGGTCATTTAGAATTCGTGAAGTAAATAAACATCACTCAGTGGTTGAGTCAGTTTTTAACTCTTAAACAACTTTTAATAATAAAAATGGAAATAAGATGTGTGTTTTTTCCATATATCAATTCATTTGCTGTGGCCTTTTGATTTCATTTTGGTAAATACATACATATGACATTTATCAAAATATTATTGGTCTTAAAACTTGTATGTATTTATGATGTTATGAATTTAAATTATAAATATATGCAGTCATATGTCAGTGCATATGCTTCATAATTTCATCTTAAGCTGTTTGTATTTTCTACATTTTATCATACAGGTGATAGGGTGAAATTTAGCTGTTCATCTTCTTGTGGCGTATATCAAACCTCTTCTAGGTATGAATTTGTCGAAAACTTAACTGAATTGATTTATTTCATTGATACACATGTTTTGTACTTTATTTTGCATCGCAGTTGAACTATAGGGCCCAAGGTCTGCACATTGTGATGGAAATTTCTATTTAATTGAAAATGAAATGATTATATCACTGTTGGGAGATTTGGACAACAAAGGGTAGAGGAGAAAAACTTTATGGTGATTGCACTGGGGTAAAAGATTGTAATTACAATCAATCCTTTGGTTGTTATGTAAGGGGTGGTGCTACAAGCTGATACTGCATATTTCGCATATTTGTGTTCTTTCTACTATGTATAACTCTCTCTCTCTCCCCCTCCCTCCTGTTCAACACATCTTGGTTGCAACTACAACCCTTTTTGTGCTAAAATGTGGTGGGAAAGATGTAAAAAAATTGTAAGTTAGTTCGTGAGGCCCCACTTAATGGCTTGAAGATGTTGTACATAAACTTACCCCTGTAAGTGGAAAGGCTGCTTTTAGGATTTGAACCCAAGACATCTTTGATGGAAAATAAATGATTTGAAGTGGAATTAGTGTGGTGAAAATGATAAATTAGAAATTAACTTTATCTTATCTTGTTTGGACCATACAGATGAAATGAGTGGTGAAAAAGTGGAGAAAAACAGTATTGCATATTCACAGTCTGCTAATTTTTCTTAAAATAATGTTCTAAGATTGTCTACTCAGAATTTTATTTGCAACTTTTTGTTATTCTGTTTTCATTTCAACTACTGTTTTTTGTTTCATTCCTCCACATGTTTTTTTCTGAACCATTTAGAGCATGTTTTGGAAAGCCATGTATTGGTATATTGTTCTTCAAGTCTGGCCTTTAAACCATATAGTTTTGGTAAAATATAATTATTATTTCAGTATATCTTTGGAATAGTGGCAATCCTTCATCTACTGTCCCGCAGTAGAATTTTTGGGCCAGCCACTCTGCATTGCTGTTTGGGTTGACAACTATACTCAATTGCTAGTGTTTCTATCTTATTATTATAATTTTTATTAGTGATTTCATATATAGGGGACCATCTAATGGAAGTCGGGGGAAGGTTGTCTTATTATTTGATGATAATCCCTTGTCTAAAATTGGTGTGAGATTTGATAAACCCATACCAGATGGAGTTGATCTTGGTGGTGCCTGTGAGGGAGGTCAAGGATTTTTCTGCAATGGTAATGCCTACACATGTGTAATGCAACTTTTATTATATTTAGATATTGTATGTTATTGTATTTAGATCGATATATTATATAGTCTTGTATTTAACTAATTTTATGTTTCCAGTGACTGATCTTCGCTTGGAAAGCAGTGCTGTAGAAGAACTGGACAAATTACTCATTCATTCATTGTTTGAGGTTGCAATTGGCTTGTAGTCTCAGAATGTCCTTTAATAATTTTGGCTTCAATTTTACTGTTACTGATATACATACGTACATATGTATGTGTGTGTGTGTATATATATATATATATTTTTTTTTTTTCTTTTCAGGTTGTTTTTAGTGAGAGTAGAAGTGCACCATTCATTTTGTTCATGAAAGATGCCGAGAAGTCTATTGTAGGAAATGGAGATTCGTATGCGTTTAAAAGTAAGCTTGAAAACCTTCCAGACAGTGTGGTCGTGATAGGTTCTCACACTCAAAATGACAGTCGTAAGGAGAAGGTATTATGTTTTTGGTTTAACTAATCTGTAAACAATAAGTCCTTATATTGCGATTTTAATTTAGGTCTCTGTTTTTAAAGTTTGTAAATAGCTCTACCATCTTTTTGATTGTGATTTGTACGTTATGTTTGGATAAACTTGTCTATAAGAACTTATTCACCTTAGCTTTTGAAGAAGTTAGTTGAAAGTAGCTCCATATGAGTTTAGTGTACAAGTTGATTTTAGCTTATGAGAGAGGTTCAGTTTATACCTTCATATTTTCTTCTATAAGTTTCTATGAAGTTTATCCAACAGGATCCTATTGTGAATTTTTTGGATGTTAAGAACCCAAAAAGCTTGAAATTTCACAATATTTTAATTGAGTCCTTGAATCTAATATCATACATAACAGCAACACTCAGTGCTTTAAGCATAGGGAATACGTACAAATCATTTGAAGCTCTAGGTATCTGTGTAAAAGTTTGAAAATATAGGGACTTAACATGATAAGTCTATAGTAGTCAATTGTCAATAGTGGCGTGGAGCAGCTGACCCAGAAAAGGCTACAGCAGGTAGGCTTGGAAGACCACTATTATGGAGTTTTAAGATGCACATTTCATAATTTTTCATACACACTGAAAAATAAAATAAAATAAACAAAATTAAAGACATTTGTAATTAGTGATCTAAAATCGGAATTTGAAACTTAATATATGCATGCCATAAGTGATGGGCATGACAAAGAATGGCCACTGAGCAAGGCAGAGAGATGAAAGGAAAGAATTCACTAGGGACAGAACAGATCAAGGCTGCACTTACTGGTTGGCTAGAAATAGTAATTGACTCACTGGAAAGTGGCTACAGGCATAAGGGATGCCTTGAAACTAAGGAACAGAACAAGGTTGTAGAAGTCAGCAGCAGGTAGAAAACCGTCATCACACGTTTTAAAATGCTGGGAGAATCCGGAAAAATTATAGAGGGGCTGCTATTCTAAACTGCCGCAGTATTAAGTTGTGTAGCTCCCACAAGCCACCCGATAGTGTGATTCTGCATATCACCACTTTTGGATGCAATTGACAACTATACATTACTTTTTGTTGCCATGCATAGAAAGACATTAGAAGCGCTCAAGCTCCACAGCCTAATACAATATACCCTTGAAATCTCAGTATGATATAATTTGGTCTATTGCATCATTGAAAGAATAAATTAATCAGTCTCCAAAGAACCTTGTTTTTAGTAGTTGTGGGCTTTGTATATCATTTTGCTTTGTATTAATTGTGAATGCCTTTTGTTGTTGTGGAATAAGATGCAATCTGGATTATCTATGTATTTGATTCATTGAATTTACTTTCTTCACTGATTTAAGTTTCTTCATAAGTGATTATTGATATATAACTTTTTCTTCCTGCAGTCACATCCTGGTGGTTTGCTTTTTACAAAATTTGGTAGCAATCAGACTGCCCTTCTTGACTTGGCTTTCCCTGTAATATCTAATATCCTTTTCACTTTTATTACTTTTATTCGAAGAGAGAAACAGGAGTTGTTGACACATTTTTGCACTTTTGTGTACTAAGCATCTTTCCCGTGATCTAATATTACTTTCGAGCTTTCTGAGTGAAATAACTTTTGGCCTCTTCAACTTTTTTCAGGATAGTTTTGGAAGGTTGCATGACAGAGGGAAGGAAGTTCCAAAACCAAATAGAACTTTGACTAAACTGTTCCCAAATAAAATTACAATTCACATGCCTCAGGTATATAAAGTGGAATGTTTGTCATGAATTTTGTTCTCCTTAGACAATATTCATAATATATTTCCTGCTATAGGATGAGGCTCTTTTAGCATCTTGGAAGCAGCAACTGGATCGGGATGTTGAGACTCTCAAAATCAAAGGAAATTTACATCATTTGCGTGCAGTGAGTGCCTTGTGTTTGCTTGTAAATTTAGTTTTTTTAGCATAATTGAAAGGCTTTTGTATGATTACATCTGCATATTTTGTGTAAAAAATAGAATTGGAGGCTATATAGTACTCTTCTTCATCCAATTATATCATTGTGGTACAAGTAATTCATTTGTATATGAATGAATGAGATACCAGTTGAACATCCAATACAAGTTATGTTTGCCCATGGAAGCTTGTTTCCCTACACAGTTGTGGAAGGACATTTGGCCTGATCACGAACGTCATTTTTTCTAAGGGTTTTATCTCTAGTTTTGCCTAATTTGCCCATCCAAAGTTTGAACTCATAGCTGGCATTTTACTTTGAATGTTCGTTTTTGTATAAATTTAAGAAACTGAAAAGTTAGTTAGAATCTAATATGGCCTTATTTGATTCTGTAATTTCTTACTTGTATATATAGAAGAATTTAGACATCTGTTTTGTTTGGTCTGTTTTAATGGAACTCATCCAATAACTACTATAATTTTATGTGGTTCATTTTTTATGAATTTTGATTTAGTTGAAAGTCAAGTACCTAAGTAAATTATTTTGTTTGAATAAGGGTGCATAATAGGGTTACTTAACACAGATGTTGAACCAAGTCGTAATGTTAATGTTGATTCTTATTGTTTATAGTAGCAGTTGTGATATTTTAAATTTTCAGTAATCATAGTCTAACTAATTTTATTTATAGGTTTTGGGACGATGTGGAATGGAATGTGAAGGACTCGAGACCTTATGCATTAGGGATCAGACACTTTCAAATGAAAGTATGTTCTAAGCATTCAGTGCTTAAGGATTTCTCTAGAATCTCTCTCCTATATCATGTTTGTCACATTGCAGATGCAGAGAAGATAATCGGTTGGGCTTTAAGTCACCATCTCATGCAGAATTCAGAAGCTAAGCCTGATTCAAAGCTTGTATTGTCGAGTGAGAGGTAATTTCTAATTTACACTGCTTGTTATTTGATATACTATATTTTAGTTAATTGTATTTTACAATTGTGATTTCATATGGTATTCCTCCAGCATTCAGTATGGAATTGGGATCTTGCAGTCTATCCAGAATGAGTCCAAGAGCCTGAAGAAATCTCTTAAGGTGCTTGTTTGTGACTTAGATGTCATTCCGGCTTTGCTTTTTAATTTTTACAAGTTATTCTTTTGGTAGAGTTCATAAACACTGTATTCTAAATCATGTTGCTTGTTCAGGATGTTGTAACAGAAAATGAATTTGAAAAGAGGCTTTTGGCTGACGTTATTCCACCTAGTGACATTGATGTTACCTTTGATGATATTGGAGCTCTTGAAAAGGTCAAGGATACATTGAAGGAGTTGGTGATGCTTCCTTTACAGAGGCCCGAGCTTTTCTGCAAGGGACAATTAACCAAGGTTCACTTCCTTTACAGATTGAAATATGTTTTATTGTTTACAGGTTTTTTTGCTCCATCTCTTTTCGTTGGTTGACTATTTGTGTTGATTTGATTGATTGATTTTGTGATGTTTTAGTTTGTGTAAATCTTTGAGTGTTCTTCCTTTGTTCCTCCCACTCTAAAATTGAAGAAAACTAACTAAGTGGAATCAGTTGCCATGTTTTCATTAAGTTTGATTGCCCTATTTGACATCTACGATTTGTCACATCATTGTTTGATATTGGCCTCTGCATTCTGCAGGATATGCAACTCATGATTTGTTTAAAATTTCCATTAAGTGTAAAAGCTAAAAGCAACCGTGATAGATTTTTTGGATAAAATTTCGAGCTTTATTCTCCATAATGATTAAATATTTTCTTTTTGGCATTATACAGCAATTAATAAATCATGTATAATTTTGATGATCATCTAACTGACTCTATCAAAATGTTATCCATTCTGCTATCTCAGCTCTGAATTACCTTTTGTGCAGCCATGCAAAGGTATCCTATTATTTGGCCCCCCTGGAACAGGTAAAACAATGCTCGCAAAGGCAATTGCTACTGAAGCTGGTGCAAACTTCATTAACATTTCTATGTCAAGTATTACATCTAAGGTTAAATATGTTCCCCTCCGAGTGTATGTTGATCTCACCTTTATCAGTTTGTTGTGCATATCAACTCATGTTCTTACTTTTTTTGTTTTTTTTGCTTTAGTGGTTTGGAGAGGGTGAGAAATACGTGAAAGCTGTTTTCTCTCTGGCGAGTAAAATTTCTCCAAGTGTTATATTTGTTGACGAAGTAAGTCTTTCAATTAATGGGTATTACTTTGTATTGATTCATTGGATATAACTTTTCTAGCCTTGTTTCAGGTTGACAGCATGTTGGGTCGGAGGGAAAATCCAGGGGAGCATGAGGCCATGCGAAAGATGAAAAATGAATTCATGGTGAATTGGGATGGCCTACGAACGAAGGAAACAGAGCGAGTTCTTGTGCTGGCAGCCACTAACAGGCCTTTTGACCTAGATGAGGCTGTTATAAGGAGGATGCCAAGAAGGTGAAGGCCCTGTTCAGTTGTGCTTCAATTCCCCTTTCCATAGTTTTGTTAAGATGTAGGAGACCTAGCATATTATGTATTTTAATATTTGTTCTCTGCAGATTGATGGTAAATTTGCCAGACGCTCCTAACAGAGCAAAAATATTGAAAGTTATACTGGCCAAAGAGGAATTGTCTCTTGATGTTGATTTGGATGCAGTTGCTACTATGACTGATGGATATTCCGGAAGTGATCTCAAGGTTGTTGGCGTTTTCTTTTTCTTGTTACTCTATCTCTTGAAAATTAATTGAACTAAGCTCTTGGGAACCCATTCTCAAAAGTTAGCTATTCGGAGGGAAGAACCAATATGGGAGGCACTACACAATATCGTAGTTCCTGTCATTTATGTTGCAACTTTTATTCAATATTTGATTCTTGCTTTTGTACTGCAGAATTTATGTGTTACTGCAGCACATCGGCCTATTAAGGAGATATTAGAGAGGGAAAAAAAGGTATGACTCTTCTGTATGCTAGTGTTATGCTTGGTATATATGGGTTGAATGCATTCCGTAAAGTCTACATGCTATTTATATGTGGTCTATAAAATTATGACCTTAGTTGAGACAATGCAATATATTTCTTTATGATCTTATTTTGAGCATATTCCTCATCAAGTTGTTAGTCAGTACTTTTAATGAAAGGGGAGTCATAGTATTCTAACAAAATATGTGTGTATGTTTAAAAGGAACTAATGCTTGCTTATTTTGTTTGATGCATGACAGGAACGTGTTGCTGCTCTAGCAGTAGGTCAACCAGCTCCAGCATTATGTAGCAGTGGGGACATCAGATCATTAAACATGGACGACTTCAAATATGCTCATCAGCAGGTATAAAGTGAAATTTAAAAGTCCCCCCTCGATCTCTGAGCTTTCTCACCTTTCACTTGTAGCAATACATTACTTTGTACATTATATGGACGCAGGTTTGTGCAAGTGTTTCTTCTGAATCAGTAAATATGACTGAGCTTTTACAGTGGAATGAACTATATGGAGAAGGGGGTTCAAGAGTTAAGAAAGCACTCAGCTATTTCATGTGAGATTTTTTCTTTTTAACTGACATCTTTACCCCCAGTGCTGCCTCCATCTCCTGAAGCCTGCACAATTAAAGTTTACCAATTTTTATGGCTTCCCGGGGGTTTGCTGTCGAGCCATTTCGTTGGTAAAATGAAATATAGTTTTTTATTTATAAGTCATTTTAGTACATTTGGGATGATGGGTGGTTTTGGAAGTAGAGAAGCCTTCCAGAATTTTGGTCTGTTCCGCTATTTTGTTTTGTTCCTCATCCCAAAAGAACATTTTTTTTTCGAGTTATTAAAGTCTTCTACTAGATGAAATAGTGAGGTTATCCTGTGCATATATTTGTTGTTTCTTCTGTTTTATCAAAATCTGCCGGAATAATAAGTGTTGAGATCCTGTCTCTCTGTTTTGTTACTTTTATGTACATACTTAGAGCCCTATTCAGATGATTCCTGCGGGATGCTATCTATTGATGAAGATTTTCATTTGGATTCTGCAATTATGAAATGTTTCAAGTGTTCAGAATACGTCTTTTTATTAGAATCCTCATCGGATCTGATTTATCCCAATAATAAAGAATAACTGCTTTGCATAAGTTCTTTTTACTTTAAATTTGAATCAAACCAATTATTATCAGTACCAATTCCAAACAATCAACTCAATATATACTCTTGGATTAATATATTAAATTAATAACTTCAATTTCGCTTTAATTATTTTTCTTGTAATTTTATTCAATATTGTCAAATGTTTTAATTTATTTATATTTTATTTTCTTATGTATTTTTTATTATATATTTTAGTTTAAGAAATTAATGATGTGCAAGATAATAATTATACAAAATAAGTATTTAAAAATAATTAGTTGCTAAAAACTAAACTATTTTTACTTTACATTAATATAATTTGTTTGGTTTATAATAAAAAATAGATAAGTGGGAATGAAAAATTGGAAAATATTTTTTTGTAAGCCGATGATTGTAACATACTCAGCTTGATTTTAACGGATTTAGTTCAGTTCACACCGCTAGATTATTTTTAAATTTTTATCAAATCAATTTAATTAATATTTTGTGGACTGAATTTATTTTATCATAAATCTAAATCAGTTCAGCTGGTCAATATCTTTACTTTTTATTGAATGCTTTTTGAATTATTTTATAAATGAATTGTATGACACCAAGAACTTTCAGCCCGTGACGTTGATATTGACAGTTTTGAGATTTGATGACTAACGTTAATTATACAACTAATGATAAATTTTTAAACACTACACATTTATCTACTCCCAAACTCACTTGGGGGTTGGATAATATCCTATTTAAATAGTCTGTCCTCTTCTTGTAGTGAAAGTAATACTGTAGCATGGAGCTTGGTGGTAAAACAATCATGTTCTTGAGTGTATCTACGCCAAAAATTCAATTTTAGTTGGATAGCGTTAATGCGACTGCCTCGTTAAGGGCGCATGTTCTTGTGTTGGTTATTTAAATTATGCAAATGTTAAAAAAAAAATGTTAGTCAATTACTATGGAGTTTTATCGTCAATTTTAGAGCATTACCAAAAATTTGCATTTGATTTTTGGTAGCTAAATTACAATAACAAGCTTGACATGTGCTCTAACTTAAGGAAAGAGCGAAAATAGTCTTTATTGGCCTTTTTCTTATTCTTTTATGTAGATCTTTCTAATATACGTATCAAATATTTCCTTCATGGAATACCATATCAAATAAAACAATGAGACTGGTCATTTGTATCTTCTAGAAAATATTAATATTGAGATAGAATTAACTATCTTAAATATTTTATCGTATATATTAAAGGGACAAGATCCCAATCTTAATTATTATTATTATAATACTGATTTTAACTACTGCTTTTATTTTTTTTAAGTATCTTTTAAGACATTATAAATTTATTTATTTCTCATAAAGTATTTATAAGTTTTTTTTTTATCTTTCTTTATAAAAAAATAAAGTTTGGTATCTTAGCATAGAAAGAGAGAATTTGAACATGATCTCATGTTAAATTTTAAAAGTTTTGATGAAGACAAACATACAGACTTTTGAATAACTGAGGAACCAAAGACTTAGGAATCGTGTGCGTTTCCGTTTATTTTCTTACATTTGTCATTTTTCCATTCTATATTTTCTTTGTAACTGAACGAAATCTAAAGTATAAATTACTTGTAGGAAAACTAAACATAAAATATTTATGTAGAGAGATAAAGATTAAATGAAAACAAAAGATTCGTACAAGGGTAAAATAGTTAATCAAAGCTTATATTTTGCTTTATTTGTATGTAAAAATAATAATATTATAATATTAATATTGATATCAGGTAAAAAAAAAGTATAAAACGGAAAATTGCCCAGGGAGTTGAAGATTAGAGAGAAGAGGGACACTCTCCAGTAGGCCTACGAGCAGTTGCAGTTGGCGATTCTAAATTTCAAGCGCCAACCAAAAACGTATCCGTTTTCTCAGCCAATCACGCACAAACAACCGAGCGAATTATAATGGCGGATCCGATACCGGCGCCACCAAGGTCCGCCACGGACCTCTTTTCGGATCCCCTGGACGCCCACCCGCTGTGGTTCAAACCGGCGTCGTTCCTTTCCCCGGACTTCGATTCTGAATCCTACATTTCGGAGCTTCGCACTTTTGTCCCCTTCGACACGCTCCGTTCCGAGCTCAACAACTACCTCTCTTCCCTAAACCACGAACTCATTGACCTTATCAACCGCGACTACGCCGATTTCGTCAATCTCAGCACCAAACTCGTCGACGTAGACGCCGTTGTGGTGCGAATGCGGGCCCCGCTCGTCGAGCTCCGGGCGAAGATCGAGCAGTTCAGAGAATCCGTCGAGGTTTCGCTTGTTTCCATTAAGAACCGCCTGAACCAAAGATCTGAGACCGCATCCGCTAGAGAGACGCTGGAGCTTCTCCTTGATACGTTCCACGTCGTTTCTAAGGTAGGACCGTAATTGTGACTCTAATTGTTGGTAAGATGTAGTGGATCAAATTGACTATTTAGGATCTTTGATGCAAGATCTCCTGATGCCATTTATTCTGTTTTTGGTGAAAATTTCTCAGGATGAACCTAGTGTGATCTCACTTAATTGTGATGGGATATGATTATAAAATAGAGTTTCTAAGTGGAGAACAATCCTTACCTCACTAACTGGTTTTGTGAGATTTACTTATATTCTAATCCAATTGTGAGATGGAATTAGACCTATTGGGTCCTTAGTTTTCTTCGTGTTATCATCTGTAGATGTCGTGTTGTGCAAACTTCATGCTCGAGCTATCTAGTGCTTGATGTGAGAGATGTGTGTTGGATATACACCGCACGCAACTGGACTTTAAGTGCGGCGTATATCTCGGTTTACAAGTTGATTTTGATACAAGTTGATTTTGTAGGATTCAGTTAGGCTCAAAACCGAAATTTGAAGATATTTGGTTGAGTAGGAAGATCGATAGATTATGCTATTTTCTGCTTACTTGTATAGTGTGAGCAAGGGTCTCTAGTGTCAATTTCATTGTTAGGTTTAGATTGATCGTTGATTACCATGATGGAGGCTTCTAGAGCTGGGTAAATTAAACATAGGTAAATTGCATTTGATAAGGGGTGTTTGTTTTGATTGTGTCTTGCATTGTGTAAATTAAACATAGGTACATTGCATTTGATAAGTGGTGTTTGTTTTGATTGTCTCTTGCATTGGTTTCTGAAATTTTGGGGTTGAGACAAAAGGCATTCGCAAAAAACTCATTTGCTATTGTATAATTTGTATGTGGTAAATTTGTGTTATTACAGGTTGAGAAGCTAATAAAAGAGCTGCCTAGTGTACCCACGGATTGGTCAAATGGAGATGTAAATTTGTCAGAGAGGAATTACTTGAGCAATGGAGTTTCTGTGCAGCAGGTTGAGAATGAGACGAGTATCAGAGAGACTCAAAGCATGCTGTTGGAAAGAATTGCCAGTGAGATGAACAGGCTAAAGTTCTATGTTACACATGCAAAGGTTTGTTTTAATTTTTTTTTCCCCTGTTATTGATTATTCTGTGTATTTGTGTGTTGATACTTGTAGTGACAATTGGCAGAAAATATTAAATTATATGATGTTAAAATTTAGTTGGAAATGGAATTGGGTGCAGAAGGTTTGGTAAGAAGCCAGTGATATACCATTTGGGTGTGTTGGTTGTTATATCTCATTTTTAATGTATTACATACTTCCTATTAGCATTCTGAAAGAACAAAAAGGGAAACTGTTTCTTGTCAACCATGCAAAAATTACTTAAAATATATCATATACATGACATATAGCGTTCAATGTAAACAATTTAAAGTAGATATAGATAAAAACAACTTTTTTTTTAGTAATACAAAATAAAACTAGTAGTTATATCTAATTTTGTGAAGTATTTATTTTAGAAGAATAGAAATGAAATAATTAAATAGTTTAATATAGTACATGCATTGAATGAATGAGTGACAAATAAAGGTGGAATCGAATAGGATAAGATCACAAATTTTCTTTCAAATTCCTTTTCATGTAAAATTTTAAGCTCACGAGACATTTTTATTTTTTTCATAAGAATTGGTGAAAAAGTAGAAACCTATGAATCAATTAGTCATATCGGTGATAGGAATTACATTCTTTCATGTATAGTAAGATATAGAGTCAATTAAAATTCATTTTGTGATACGAATCAGTAGATAGCCAAAATGTATCAAATCATTAGAGCCGAATTATGACTTGTAAGATTCTGATAATTATGTTGTAAAGTGATTGTTTGGAAATAAAATTTGGTTAAAGAACTACATTAATGGGTCCTGCATTAGTTAGTAACCTTTCAAGTTTGTCAAATATGTGGTAGATAGAATGAAAAATTGATATTTTTATTTATTTTATAACAGTTGATAGCTATATGTGCCCTTGAAGTTTTGTGGAGCTTTTATGGATGTTTATGTATTCATTCATTTTAATTTTCTTTGTCTTCAACTAGTGTTTGGAGTTTTGTGATTCATTGTAAAATAGACCTTTTGTTTAAGCCCTTGATACATTCTGTGCTCATCTCTTTTTCTCTATTATGCCAGTACAGAACCTTCCTTTTATTGAGAATATGGAGAAGAGGATTCAAAATGCTAGCCTAACAGTAGATGCAAGCTTGGGACACTGCTTTGTAAATGGCTTAGAGCATCGGGATGCCACTGCAATTTACAATTGCTTACGTGCATATGCTGCCATAGATAACACCAAGAATGCAGAAGAAATCTTTCGAATTACTGTTGTGGCTCCATTGATACAGAAGATAATTCCACATGGGTCATCAGCTGTGGTGGCTGGATCATCTGGGGATGCCCTTGCAAATGATTATCTACTAATTAAGGAATGCATTGATAAAGACTGTAAATTTTTATTGGAAATTTCTTCTGCTGGTATGTTGTCTGACTTTTTTCTTTCTACTTAGTTTCCAAGAAGAAATTGGACCTTTTTGGTCATTACATTTCCACATTTATCAATATGAGCCCTTCACTGTCATAACTGCAATGATTTCTTGGACCTTGTCAATCCTTACTAGGGCTCCTTTGTCCTTCTTCATCTTGAAAACTTAAACTTTTTTATCATCTACATGTATTGTTAGCTAGATCATCTGTGGTCATGCTATGGTTTTGGTGAAAAATGTCTACGAATGAAAAGCCTGCTATATCTACATATCTGAAGCTTGGTCTCTGGTGCAGAAAATTCAGGTTTGCATGTCTTCGACTTCTTAGCCAATTCAATCCTTAAAGAGGTTCTCTTTGCAATTCAGAAGGGAAAACCAGGTGCATTTTCTCCCGGAAGACCAACAGAGTTCTTGAAAAATTACAAATCAAGCTTAGACTTCTTGGCTTATCTAGAAGGTAGTAGTCATATCTCCCTCACATATCTTTTTACCTTAAGAAACAAAAAAGAACAAAGAAATATGCACTTTAAATAACTTTGTTGATTAAATATTTAATTTGATTGTACATTTGCTAATTTTATTATTCATACATGTCTTTAGGAGTATACATTCACTAATATCATAACATTTAACTTCATGCAAGGCTACTGTCCATCCCGATCAGCTGTTGCTAAATTTCGATCTGAGGCAACTTATACCGAATTCATGAAGCAATGGAATATTGGAGTATATTTTTCTTTGAGGTGCCTATGCTGCTTTAAAATGCTCATAACTTTAGAATACTTGTATTGCTACTTTGCGATATGGAAATCATATCTGCAATTGCCACAGATTTCAGGAAATAGCAGGATCTCTAGATTCTGTGCTTATGACATCCAGTCTTGTCCCTGTTCAACATTCAGACACCGGTGAAAAAAATTACCAAGGTTTAACATTAAAGCAAAGTGCTACTCTGTTGGAGAGTTTGAGATCATGCTGGAGAGAAGATGTTCTTGTCCTTTCTTGTTCTGACAGATTCCTTCGGCTATCCTTGCAGCTTCTTTCTAGGTCAGTTCAATCTGGGATGTTAAGAATTTGTGTTGTTTTTTTGGTGCTGATGGAACGAAATCCAACTTCTGATTGAACTTACAGGTACTCAAGTTGGTTGTCATCTGGACTGACTGCACGCAAAAACCACAACACAAGCACTGGCTCTGGGTGTGAGTGGGCTGTTTCAGCTGTCATAGATGACTTCATTTTTGTATGCATCGTTCCTTCACTTTATTTTTGTGTATCAAGCTGTTATGCATAACTCACATTTTGTGTGCAAGGTAAAACTTTGATTCATCGCTTCAAATCCTCTATACCCGGCTTTTTCTGAAGTTCCATATAAGGAATTGGTAAAAAGAAAAAATTGGCAATGACCATGATGAAATAACTTTATCAATACTTGGATTGTTTGACGTATATGCTATATGCTATTTGAAGATATTGGTTGTACTTTCTTTACCCGAAATGTAACAGATGTTAAATCATTTGTAGGTTATCCATGATATACGATATTTGGAGGACCAGGTTCGTGGTGATTACCTACAACACGTGCTTCAGCTTTTGTCTTCATGCTCCCCTGATGTTCTGGAATCAATAAGGCAGAGCATTTTACTGGGTGGTCAATCATTAAAATCTATTGAACCTTTAGTCATCAAGGTAGTGGTGGAGTCACTAGTGGAAAAGTCAGTTGAGGTAGGTTATAATCGATGTTTGTACTTTGAAGTGGTTGCATTATTCAGATATAAGGGTGTATATTACTATATATATTTGCAATCTTCTAGTTTCTTCCCTCCATTTTTTAATTTATTCTTTTTTTTTCTCTTGTTCAAATATTATTTAGGACTTGAGACAAATGAAGGGGATAACAGCAACCTATAGGATGACTAATAAACCTCTACCTGTTAGGCATTCACCATATGTTTCAGGGGTATTGCGTCCCCTTAAGGTTGGTTAAGTATTACTTTCGCCTGTTTTCCTACTTCACATGAGTGTAATTTATTAGAAGTATTTTTTAATTGTAAATGGGAGTGCATGTATTACGCCTAAAAGCATTAATATATATTGGTGGCATGCCGATACATTCCAGGCTTTTTTGGATGGGGAGAGAGCTACAAGATATTTAGCCAGTGACACTAGGAATGAAATACTCCTTTCTGCCGCAACTGAGATTACTGATCGTTATTATGAATTAGCTGCTGACCTTGTTAGTGTGGTAAGTGTCCAAATCCAAATTGCACTGTTGGGAAATTTTGGATCTCTTGGATTCAATGTTAGAAATTGTTTTCTAAAAAACAATTATCATGAGTAGGCAAGAAAGACAGAGTCTTCACTCCAGAAAATTAGGCAGAGTGCACAAAGACGAGCTGGAGCAAGTTCAGATATCTCAGACAATAATGTGTCTGACACAGATAAAATCTGTATGCAGTTGTTCCTTGATATTCAGGTTGGCACGATACTTATTCTTTATCTTTACCAGTGTAATCTTCATAATTCTTGGATATACAATTCATAACTGGCATGGCTTCTGAATGAGTTTGAGTTTCCTGCTAATTCTTGACTGCTTTCAAATTGTGTCCAGGAGTATGCCCGTAACCTCTCTGCACTTGGGGTTGAAGCTGTCAACATTGCATCCTACCGTTCATTATGGCAATGTGTGGCTCCGGCAGATAGGCAAAACACAATTAATCTCTAAGAGTTTGCTACTATGTAGTTAATGCGGCTTGTAGATTGTTTTCTTTCTGGATCAAGAGTTTTTTTTTGTAATTTGCTTATAAAATTCATATTGCACAATAATCACAGGTTATCACGGTTCTTAATATGGAAGAAAAAAGTATTTTTCTCGTAAATTGTTATCTTAAAGGTTCTCTGATGTTACTACGTTACTGGTGTTTCTTTCATGTTTTCTTACCATCATGCTTTTTAATAGCTTTTGTGCAAACTTATGGCAACTGATGAGGGTCTGGCCGATTGAAATGGTGGGAATATAGAGAATACGGGAAAGAAATAGGCGATAAATAACAAAATGAGGTGTATTTTGATAGAGGGCAAATAGTAATCATGTTTTTTACAAAGATAATCTATTGTTTTATTCATATTCAGTTGTCTTAGTGAAGGGAAAAAATAGTTTATTGTTTCGTTCTTAATCGGATTTCGTTTCGACAATCGATTGTAGAAAAAATTTGATTTATGCTTGCATTTTCATTCTATTTTTCTGTCTCTTTTTTTTAAGTGAACACCATTGATTTATTTTATTTCTTATTTATTTTCATATTTCCATCTATTATTTTTCTTTATAATTAAATGTTTGTTTGCATTTCGGTTGCAGTCCTTAATAATGTATTATCCCAAGTGCCAGAATAAACTGAATTTCAAGCGAATTTTGATAGGTTGATTTTATATCCAAGAATATACAAGATTCCTCATGGAGATCAAGGAAATTGTGAAGACATAATATAAAAACAGTAAAAAAATGAAGTTTAGTCTCGGGCAGCAGAGAACCAAATCGTGAATTCGTGATATTTGAAGTTTGAGTATAGTTTGTTTTCAGACTGCTGTATGATTCTATATATCTCCTTATCTTATCCTTCGATAGTTTTTAGAACAACGCGATGATAAAAGGCTTAACATTATTTTTTTCGTCTTTGACACTCTGACTTCAATACCATTACACCCTTAAAATTTATAAACGAATATGTGAGTCTTCCTCAACAAATCAGCATTAATACATTAATGATACAAATATTTAAAAAATCCACCAACGCGGTCGGTTGACCCATGAAAAGAAAATTCCAAAAAGTACATATGCGAACATGACGTTTTTCCCGACCCTAATCAGGTTCCAACGTCTCCCTTGTGTAGCTGCTCATAATAGCAGTAAACTCCAAAACATCTACTCCTGTTTTTTCCCATCGTAATATTTTTGTTTTGCTTGCAAACTAAGAATCGTCCGTACCAAAGTAACGGTCACCAAATTCTCCCAACCCTGGTATGACCCGGAAGTGGTCATTCAATCCTTCTTCAATCTCCGATGTGACAATTTTCAGATGCGGAAAACGTCTACATACACATTGAATGCCCTCAGGAGCCTGAAATGATTTTTGAAATTCAGTGTAATGCTATTCACCAAGAACGGGTCTTACTACTGCTCAATCGACTATAACTTACAGAAATGAGGTTAAGGAATATTATCTGGGACTCTGGAACTCCCTTCTTTATAAGAAGCTCGATTGCTTCGCTGGCAGCGTTACCTAGATAATCATTCAAGTGCTTATTGCCAGCCCAAAGAAGCGGCGGTGTCATGCATAAATGAACAGAAAAAACAAAGTAAACGAAGAATTCGGCTGACCAAAGCTTCGTAAATTAGTGGTCAAATCTGAAACTAAAATTTTGTTCTATGATCTGGTAGAAGATCCTAATCTTCCACAATCTTTGCCGTATGTAATATATTATTATGTACGTAGTACCCCTCGGAGTAATTGGTTGTACAACATTGTTCAACAATAAGAGATTAACAAATCTTATAGTGAAAATTTGAAAATTTAAATAAATAATAATTTGTCATTGTCAGCATTAAGAAGTTTGATGCAGAAATGGAGAACGAAGATGATGCAAGCAAAGTGATAATAACTCTCACCTGTACCAAGTACTGGGTCCATGAGAAGAACATGTCTCTCCGAAATATCTTTAGGAAGCTTCTCATAAATAAGCTAATGAAGTGGAAAATATTGCAACAAGTAACATGTGCAGAGCTGTAACTTACATAATCTTAACAGAAATCTAACAAACTAAAGTCAGAAAGGAGAAGTAATACCTGGGTTTCATCACCATCGCGGTGAATGAGAATTTTTCCGATCTTTATTCCTTTACAGCAAGCACGCAAAGCATTTTCCATACTTTCGCCACTGAAACATGTTAACGGAAACAAACATTTATAGAGTTGCAAAATTACTGACATTTTAATTTTTACGCAGAAAATGACTGATTTAATAAGAATATAGAAACAATCCGGCCACGAATTCCCCTGAAGTCACATAGACATGCATTCCACGTATCAGATTAGGAGTTAAATATTGAATTATATATATCCCATATAAAATTGGTTTCAAACTGAATATTTATTTTTTTCAAATCAAAGAATGAATTTGAAACTAAAATTTAATACGGGACAATGGCATCGTAAAACGAAAATGCAAACGATTTTGTTTCCCAACTTTACTGTAAGATTAAGAACATTTCAATATAGCCAGTTTTAGAAATGAAGAATGGAGTATGGACAACTAATATATAAATAATTATTGTAGTGACAGAGAAAACCTTTTTAACAAGGAAAGTTACCTTCGAATAATGGATACTCCGCACAATTTCTTACAAAAATCAACTCCCGTATAAATTGATCCTGAGAAATAACAAGAAAAATTTACGGAGACTGTTTAATTACAATCAACATGAAAATGTTGAGGCTCTATCATTATTCAAACAAAGTTTAGTTATTTCATAACACGCTCTATCATATTATGCTAAAACATGAATAAATGAAACAGTTGCTGGCAGATTCAAACGATGAAACGGTATTTCCTCTTCTTTAGAAAGACCTGTAGGTGTGATAACTTGTTTCTCTGTAAACGGCAAGTAACCAAGACCATGTTCCACTACCTGTGAAGTCGGTGATATTAAGATTAGTTATTAGAGGGGCTGTAAATCTTGTATAAAGCTCATAGCCATTACCTACCAAACGAATTAGCCGGTCTGAATAAAAAATAAAATCATGCTTTGATATGTCCCTATCACGAATAAGAGTGTGCATGCCTCTAGTCTGTAAGAAAACTTCAAAATTAGAAATAAATTAGCATAAGAAATATTTCCTTAGGGGAAAGAAGAAAAATAAAAATTTTTATAGATGAGAAAGAAGCAAGATGAAAATCACCTGGAAGGTAGACTGAATAACATTCACATTCGGATATATCTTGCAGAGGTTATGTTGGCCAAGCTTAGTGCGGATATGTTGAACAATCAAGTCAATTGCTACACGATTCTCTCCCCCACGAGGTATGATTATGTCGGCATATTTTTTGGAAGGAAGTATAAAATCTTCATAAGCTGGCTTAACAAATTTTGCATACTGAAAATGCAACAATTATTTTCCACATCAGCCACCAAATTTCACGTATTGGCATCAGAAATTAGTGTGAAATCAAAGTGTTTCATGACGCTATGACGTTAGCAGTACCCATGAGATTCAATCTGTTATGTTCAAAGTTCAAAGTTACTGCCCTCCAACCACTATTACCATTTGCACATTGTTTCTAGCCCTCTATCATCCTTAAGCACAGATATAGGACTCCAGTACAAGACAACAAAATATTACTTTTATTCCGAAACAAAAAGACTTCTTTTGCCTTTTGGGCAATAAGAAAAACCATTTGCAAAAGAAAGACAACATCATATAAAAGTAGCATTCGTTGGTCACTTGCCATATTATATTACAATCCGATTATGACTCGAAAGCTTATCCTTTCCAATTAATGGGACTGAGTCATCGTATTTTTACAATGGTTTCTTCCCACATAGTTAGTTTTCAGAATACGCATTGGTAGCATTATTTTTTTATTATCATTATAAATTAAAAATCTATTTATCATTATCATCTTACCACCAATTTTAAGATATCTATTCAAAAATTTATTATTTTTTATAAATGGTAATCGTAATTCCCAAGTTCCTGATATCTGTCAACCTGATGATGTTAGTATATTTTACAGAATTAAGATAAAGTCTTGCCTGTTCCAGTACAGATTGTACATCTCTACCCCTCTCAACTGTATCACGTTTTACTCTGCGGGCAAGCCTTACATCTGGATCTGCATAACATGCATTGCAATATCAGTATGACGAAAAGAACATGTAAAATCACCGATATTTTCAATAAAAAAATTATTTTCGGAAAATTGTCGCCATTTATATATACTGAAGAAAAACTGCTTCCAGAGAGGATCAAGAACTTTGAATGGACAGGAAAAACATGGAGCAAACTCGCTGCGCAGTACTAAATCATCCGATTTACAATGCTAAATCATAGTTATCTAACGTGCTCTTCCAAAACGACTGGAGCAAACATGTTGGTTGTTCCATAACAACACCTTTCTTATACACATGAAAACAGATAATCGGGCAGGATGTATAGATCCAAGAGAGATTAATGGTGCTGAGGAAATTATAACACAGCTTGTCTAGATGATAATTATCCAAAAGCTTTTGTCTAGATGTTAAGCGAAAGTGATGTTAAAACTTGAAAGGCTGGACCACTAATACCTATAGTCCATGGTTTTTGCTCAGCTATGATCAATTCGAGCAATAGGCAAATTTTGCAAAAATCAAGTTATTCCATGGATCTCAGACTGAATAAAGCATATATATGCTAAATCGAGGTAAGTACTAAATACAATATGTACCATTTTCCCTTTTTCTCTCTAAACATCCTTTTTTCCTCATGACAAACAAAATTTAGTACATTTTAACGTATCTAATTCTAACCTGGAATAGATGGGGAAAAAACTTGAAACGATAAATAATATGTAAGAGCAATAGACCTGCATCAACAAATATCTTCATATTCATCATGTTACGGACACGTTGTTCATGAAAAACCAATATACCCTCCATAATGATTACATCAGATCCATTGACCTGGCAAACAATAATAAAATTAAAAATAACGTCCGGCCAAAATTTTCATTTTATTCGACTGTAGCACTCCAATCATAATTATCTAAAAACATCTAGCAACTCAGGTCAATAGTGAAGAAAGGGCATTAAATTTTAAGAAAAATCATTGAGCAATGGTATGAATTGGAAAATTATACCCTTCCTTCTTCTGAATAAAACAAATACAATTTCAGGTATGCTTAGCTTAGATAGATACACAGGCAATATGCAGGGTATGAATGATTTCGACCGTTGGCTCTCTAGGAGCACTGTTACTGCAGATCATCTCGTTACTGGCATAAAAGAAAAGATTCCATCTGAGCTACAAATCTGAGAACAAATGATATTAACATTTAACACCTCACATTAGCTTAACATGTCAGAAGGATGGGAACCTGTCGGGATTTGTCGGTTGATCTCTGATGAAGCTTAAAATCATATATTGGAACTTGAACCGACTGTCCAGATTTGAGCTGACCGAGGGTTTCTACAAGTTGCTCTGTGTCAAACGCATCTACCAAAACATAACACACGGATAGAATTAGGATCCTAAAAGATTTATTCAATAATCTCAATTAAGTTTCTAGCTACCGTACTAGGATGATCAAAGTTATACTCATGAACGCGTTTCAACTCATCATTCGTCAAACCGCGGTAGAATGAATCCTACGACAATAACAGATCATCACTCAAGTTATTACTAGTAGTAATTAACATGAATTCATCTTTACTCGTTTTCAGATTTATCATAATGCAAATAACACGTTTGCAATCACACAAAAGAAATCTAATGATTTGGTTCATGATTCCACTACGATCCAAATCCAATACCATCGCTACACAAGATTACAAACAGAGAATAGCAGGGACCTGACAGAGGAGCACAACTCTGTGATCTTGCAGTTGCTGAACGATAATGTCGCACACTGTCGTTTTCCCCGATGCAGTGCCTCCAGAGACACCTGATCCACGTAGAGAACGCAAATCGAATAGAATCACACAAAAACAACACGTACCATTAGATTCCTCTCCAACGATAAAATGCAGGAAAATTATTGCAATTAACGTCTGAATTTTCGTTCTCAACTGTAAGATCTAATCCATCCGTAAACAGAAGCCCTTATATGATAATAAAGGGAGAGGTTCATTCAATCAGAGTATAGAAGAAAATTGAAAAAAAAAAAAATGCCGTTTGGTTTCCGAGAAAATTAAAAGTTATTTTTAATTTTCCCGGGAAGCAAAAAGAATTGTAATAAATAAAACGGTGAATACGAGAAGAAAAAAGATTAATAGTTGTGTTGCGTGATGACATAATATAGTTACCGATGATGAAGGGGTGACGAGAAGATCTTGGAGAAGTAGAAGATGATGTTGAAGGATGCCAACCGGAGAAATGCGCACCGGAGACAACCTCTATGACAGTATCCATTGGAATGCCTTGTTTTTTGGCTTCGTTTCGTTTCAACGATCACTGCACTCTGCATTTCTCTTCTAACGCTCTTATATACGTATGCGTTTGCGGTCTCTATTATCACCTGTCACAATCCCACCGCATTTTTTTTTTTTATAGCTGATATTTATCCTCTATATCTTATGAAAATAGCACTTAAAACGAGATTATGAATTAATCATCATTTTTTTTATATATATATAATTAATTGTCAATTTGATTTTAGTATTATATCTAAAAGTAATAATTAATTATTTTTTAAACTTAAAAATATATATAAATTTAAATATAGATTATATTTATATGGATTTAGCTTTTTATTAATTATGCCATAGTGAAAAATTATTATTAAATGTTTAATTTAATTACTTGAGAATCTCACTTTCTCAACACACAGGGTTTTAGTTTGTAGAGAGTTTTCATCTCTTGAGGTTCTAACTATTGATAAAATTAAAGTGTCATAAAGTTAAAGTTAGTAATTTTTTAAGGAAAGTTATAGCTAAGACATAAGAACTTCTTATCTAATCACAAGTGGTCGTATATTTATAATAATTACATTAATTTAAAGGATGACATTTTTTATTGATTGACAGTACTAATGAAAATTAAATTATTGAATCTTCATAGTTTTAAAGGTAAAATACTTTTTTATTGCTTACGGATTTTAGTTAACTAATTTTGATGCTTTGTCTTTTATGATCCTTTTAAGGAAATTCTTACAAAATAATTAAAAAATAAAAAAATTCCTTAATATTCTCTTTAGATAATTTTACATTTTCTTAGACACTTTCATAATCAATATAATATTTTTTTAAAATATCTTAAAAATATAAATAAATATTAAATCAATCTCATAAATAACTAAAGTATTTTAAAAGAAAAATTATACAATATAATATAATATAATATAGTCAATATTTTGATACTCATTCAATCTTTGTTTTTTTTTCTTTTTCATCTCATCCAATGTTTCTTTTACTTTTTTTTTTCATTTTTTTCTGATTTCCTTTAATTAAAAATATTAAATTAAAATTTAATAAAATAATTTTTATTATTTTTAAAATAATTTAAATTATCTAAAAATCATATAATTTAAAATATTATATTTAAAAATATTACATAATAAATTTTGAAGGGATATAACTATTATTTTTATATTATAATTATTAAAAGAATAATATTTATTTTAAAATAATATTTTAATTAATATGTTTTTAAATTAATTAATCTGAATAATCATCATAATTCAATGTAATTATGATTAGATTAAATTATTAAACAAAAAAAAATAACTATAAATATTTATTATTTTTAATTAAATAAATAATTTATTATGATAAGATAATTTTAAATTAATTATTATTATTATTATAAATAAATTTTTTTCTTCTTGAAATTAAAAGTGACATTTGTAGTTGAATAGGATTCTCTTAGACATTTTGATAAAAAATAAAGCTTAAAGCAAAAGAATAGTTTTTAGAGAATATAGGTTAAGGTATCCGGTAGTAGGAAATTGTTAAGAGAATCGAAAAACGAAGGAAAGAAAAATCGGAGATCATATGATTGGTTAAAAACTGATGAAGTGAAAAGATGGTTGGAAAACATTCGATGACTATGTAACAATATGGACACATAAATCGAGAATTAGAACCGAAAATCGAAGGAGGAATATTTAATGTCTATTTGTTGAAGAGAATCGAGAAATTTGAGTCAAAAGTAATGTTGAGAAACAAAGCGAAAACAGAAGCAATTCAAAATTCTCGAGATTTGGAATCGAAATCGAGGGAAAGGTTAAACTACATGACTATCGAAATTTTGGTTAAGTTATAAAGAGAGGAACAGTTGACGTGCACATAGAACATGGTAAGCGGTGGCAGAAGTCAAAGGTCAAGGGAGCAGTTACCTCATGCATGAGAACGTGAATGCAGTTTTTTAACCGTACAGCTAGAAGTAAAACTGCAAAAGACGTGCACGCAGGACGTGGTAGCAGTTTTCGTTAACTGCTCCTGAGAGATTACTTGAAAGATGCTCTATAAATAGAGCGAAAGATGAAGGAAAAAGGGGAATTGGCAGAGACAACAGAAGCGTTAGTAAAAAGTCTACTAGAGAACGACGAAATCATGAAGTTTCTGGCGATCTGGATTTCCATTTTCATTGACTGCCTTTATCGCTTTCTTTACTTTCCCTGGTAATTTATGTTCATGTAATTTTCCTTTGATGCAATTTAAGTTTCTGTACTTTCGATTACTGGTCATTTACCTTTAATGCAATTTAAGTTTCTGTACTTTCGATATCTTGTCATTTACCGTTTCTGTAATTCCGATTTCCTGCTATTTACTTTCATGCAATTTTAATTATGTTATTTACAATTACTGCAATTTTGAGGTTTCCGCAATTTTCAATTCTCTGTAATTTCATATTCTGCACCGCTTTTTCGATTTAACATTTCTACTGCTTTCTTTACTTCGTGTTACTTAATAAAAAACATCAAAATTAGTACTTTCGATCATCGATCTACACTCTAGGTCATGTGGTTTGCATCTTTTCGAGATTTTAGGATTCTCGATTCTCATGCACTTTTGATTGAAAACTAGTTTCTAGCCTAAGTAAAAAGAATCTACATGGTCAAGATTTGATTATGACTCAACTCCCCATAAATCGAAATCAATCAAATTTTCACCAGAAACAAATTGGCGCGCCAGGTAGGGGGTAGCGTGTGTCGAAAAACACAAAATTGGTTAGTTCGAAAGTGTATGAGATTAAGGAGTGGACGAGTGATAAGAATGAGTCATCCACCAAATAATTCGATTAACAGTGAGGTTCTGAATGGTTCACATCCACCAAACACTGGGGGGCAAGGTCATAATGGGAATATGCCTGTAATATTGACAACTGCGAGTATGTCGATACCTGTGAGTAATGAACAAAGTTCAGACACATTAGCAAATACTCAACTAGGATCTAGCACTGCGATATCAAATAATGTGCAAACTATGGGAAACCCTATAACAACATATGCAGGGTCGTATATGAGCGTAAGGTCGCCTGGGTTTTTGCTTAATAATATGAATGGGGTTGGTACCTCTTCAATACAACGAAGTTCGAGATTGAACTTAGGAATGCCTAAAAACTTAGGTACATTTCAAACTTTAGACATGCCACAAAACGTTGGAGTATCTCCAAATTTAGGGGCAACTCAAAATTTAGTAACCCCCAGAATTCAGGGAGTGTGCAGAACTTAGGTACACAACAGATACCTCCAAATCTAGATCACAGAGCAAATTTGGATCATGGGAGATACACATTCGATAGAGATTATCATCGATCCAATTTTGAGACTATAAAAAACGCTAGTACTGGAATCTCCAGTAACTCATTAGGAGTACTTAGACAACAAATGGATGAGAGCAATTTCAAGATGGTTAACATGTTATCACAACAGTTGACTACAGTATTGAATCCATTAGTGCAAAACACTACCACTAGTTTTGAAATACTAGCAGACCAAATGTCACGTATCGAAGATGCATTGGCAATACCCCGACAAACAAGGGTCGAAAGCAATGCCAATCAGAATACTAATATCAATCCCCCTTATTTATTAAGGATAAATCGAAACAATGATCAACATATGGGGAATGAATATCAACATGTGAGGAATGATATGTATGGAAATCTGAATGAGGGATTTCAAAACGCGTATAATCAAAATAACATGCAGTATAATCACATGCTAGGACAAAGGATGAATCCCTAATGAGTGGAATTAAGACCACCCAATCAACCATATTTTGTTTCTCCTTTTCCAAATACGATTCTCGAGATTGAATTACCTCGAGGATACAAAATACCTAAATTTACCAAATTTGCTGGAGAAATTGGTGAGTCCACTATCGAGCATGTAGCTCGATATCAGATCGAATGTGGAGACCTAGCGATGAGTGAAGAATTAAAAATGAAATATTTCCCTACTTCATTGACTAAGAATGCTTTCACTTGGTTTACTTCGTTGCCACCCAATTCGATATATAATTGGTTGCAACTGGAAAGAAATTTTCATGAGCAATTCTTTAGAGGGGAGACTCAAGTAAGTCTCATCGACCTAATGAACATAAAGAGATACAATCATAAAAGCATAGATGATTATTTGAATAGATTTAGACAAATGAAGTCAATATGCTTTACTCAAATTCCTGAATATGAATTAGTCAGAATGGCCTCTACAGGCTTAAAATTCTCGATTAGGAAAAAGTTAGTTAATTTACCATTGAATGACATGGCTCAGCTAGCTGATAAAGTGAGAAGAGTGGAACAAATCGAATATGAAAAACAAAGGTATAAGAAATTCGAGAAACCCATGAAGAAAGAAAGAGTAGCATATATAAATGATGTGTATGAGACAAATCCCAAGACAGAAACTGATATTGAAGAAACTGTTGATGAGAAAGTAAACATAGCAGAGCTTAAAGTAGGAGCTCCATACATTTGTAAACTGCTACAGAAAAATAAAGTAAAAGACAAAATGGCAAATCGAACATATACTTTTGATGTAACAAAGGTGGATAAAATCTTCGATATCTTATTGAAAGATAAACAGATTAAGTTAAGTGATGATCATAAGCTTCCTTCTACAGAACAAAGGAATGGTCAAAAGTATTGCAAATTTCACAATATTTATGGACATTGGACTAATAATTGTATACATTTCAGGATCTAAGATGCGATTGACCAAGGAAGATTGAAATTCGAGGAGATGTCAATGAAAGTGGATACGAGTCCATTTGATGTACAAGTAGGGTATATCGAGTCCCAAACGGGCAAGACTGAAGATGTCCGAGTAATGGATTCGACCTTTGTAGGCATGGTTGATGTTACTGAAGACATTGATCCCAAACATGTCAGAATGGATGTATCCGAAGAAGACATAGAATTCGACCTGAGTGAGTTCGAGAAAGAATTCGAGAGAAAGATCTATCCTC